GGTCCTCAGCGGCGTTCTCATTCGCATCGCTCACAAAATGGGCCTTCATCGTGACGGCGAAACTCTGAACCTGACTGCGTTCGAGATCGAAACACGAAGGAGGGTTTGGTGGCAGATTCTCATGCTTGACTCCAAGTTTGCACTAGTCTCTGGATTCAACGACACCCTACTGCCATGGGGCTGGGATACCAAGATTCCTTCCAACGTCAACGATGCGGACCTGTTCCCTGGCTCGACAGAACCACTTCAACCACGCGAGGGCCCGACCGAAATGATTTTCTGCATCCTCCTTTACGAAATTGGCAAGTTCATTTCGCAGAACCGCCTCCCCGACTTTGAGGAAGTCGTCCTGCTCGGCCAAGGTCCGGAACCTGGCACCGCCCCTGGTGACTCGATTCGGGCCTCTCTCGACAAATACAATGCCATGATTGACGGGCTCGAAGAGCGGCTCATTGCCATTGAACAGCGTTATCTCGATATTTCAGCCGGACCGACACACCTCATGTCCAGCCGTCTTCGCCCCATGATTCTCGACAAGATCCGCCACATGCTCATTCCGATGCGTGAAACGCCAGAATGGGGCTCCGAGGTGTTTAACGTCCAAGACAACATTTTCCGCATCTCTCTCTTCCACCAGGAGCACAACTTGACATACTATGAGCTGCAAGACAACCAAAGCTTCCTTTGGTTCCACAAGCTCCACTTTCAGTTTGAAGTATTCGCGTTCCTCGTCGGCCAGCTCTACCAGCGCCGCCAGACGGGCTCCCTCGCGGACCGCATGTGGCACGTCATTGACAAGGTGTACATGTACCACGAGGAGCTCTGGGACATGTCGCAAAAGCAATACTCGGAGCTCGCGGCCTTCATCGTCAGGGCGTGGGCCAAGCGCGAGCGCGCTCTCACGTCCATGTGTATTCCCTTTGACGTGCCTGTCTGCGTTCCCAAGCTTCAGGACAGGGTCCCTCAACCGAGCTCAGGGGCGTCGAGCAACGGCCCCAGCCCCGCACAGCCGGGCCACATGGAGATGCCGCACCTGAACAATGGGGGCGCGCCGCATACTGATGGGCAATTGGACTTTTTGGGCAACTTTTTCGACAACTCGGCGCTGGACTGGGACATGTGGGGTGACATGGGCGTTGTCGCCAATGGCAACCTTGGGTCGTCTGGACCAACAACATCGCAACCCGGGACAGCATCGGGCGTTTTTTCGAGCTTTGGAAATTTTGGAACACAGCCGCCACCACCACGGTGGTGAACGGGCACGACATGGCGGTTCATGAGCTCTGGAGACTGGGCGTCGAGAGGTGGCCACTGACGTTGCGAAAGAGCATTGCTCACGCTGGCTGGTGAAGCTGTACGATGAGGGGGGGTTCATGATGGGACATAGACGGGAGATGCACACTTTACGGATAAGAGACAACGGGAAAGTTTCAGCGATGACGGGCGACACTGGCGCGGTGTACAGTGAGACCAACCTCTCCTCTATTGGGTTTTCAGTTTTTGGCTTTTTATTCCCGTCTGCGTTTACGATGCTTGTCTTTTCGACCCCACGATTGGTAGTAGAAATGGGACTGGCATTTTTATTGCGTTTGGCAATAGGCAAGAGGCCGTGAATACACACGCAGATCTCATGCTCGAAATTCAACTGCTTCTCGCCGCCACGGGCAGCTCCCCTTTTCCATCCAAACGATCGTCGGGCGTATTCGGGTTCGGCTTTCTTGAAGAAGAGATTGACGCGAGAAGAAAGGCGAAGAAGAGTGACGTAGTGGAGTCTACCCGCCTCTTTTCTTGGCCCTTTCGGGCAGCTCGGACACCGCACACGCCGGAAAGGCCAAGGAGCCCGTCTCGTCGCATTGGTTTGTTGCGACGGCACGGCCGACACAAAGTAACCTCCCCCCCCGCCTTTTCTCGCCAGCAGTTTGTTTTTGTTTCCCATCATACCCTCGGGACAGAGCCGCGTATATCTGCCGAGAACAACTGCATCGCGCCCGTTTGTACCAGCCGGTATGCCGTTGTGGGGAATTGCATGAGTATTTTTTTTTTTTTTTAAAGGAAGCGAGACGGCTCTGCCTCTATAACGAGCATGCATTTAACGGGAGTTGGTTCCGGGGAAAACCCACCCGGAAGATGGGATGGGACCGGGGGGCTCCAATATGCGGGCGGGCGGCACGGCGGCCTTGTGGGCTTGCAGTTCTGGATGTGACGGGAGAATGGGGGATGAGGGAGGGGTGGGCAGCAAGGGGCCGGGTGCCGGGAGAGAGGGTGGTCAGGTGAGGGCGGCAAAATGAGGAAGAGAGGGCTTGATTGACTGGGGTTGTTGGCACGATTGGCGATGATGAACTGGGGGTTTTTTTTCTTTAGGACTGTGCTGTTGCAGTTTCCTGGCTGCTGGGGGATGGATGATCTGATCGCGGTTGGCTTGGGGGCTCCCATCCAGCTTGAATTGTACAGATGTCAATCGGCGCTGCAGGTTGTCGTGGTCTGATGCGCACTGCATACGGGACTGGCGTTCGTGGCGCTTTGGGGCAGTACTTCACGATGGAGCCTCGCTTTCGCGACCGAGTTCGTCCCATCTCGGTCGTGTTCTTATTCGGTTTCGCAAGGGGCAGCCGCGCTGGTCATGTTGTCTTTCGAGATATACTTTGAAGGATGGCATGTTGACATGAGATGGCACCATGCTCGGAGGCAGCAGACGAAGACGAAAGCGCTGGAACCGAAAGCCACATGTCGAGGACGAAGACTCTAGTCGCCTGTCGAACCTCAGCACCAGCATGATGTACCAAAGACGACGCACTCTATTGGCGACCTTCTGGATCGGCTACATCACGGCGCAGGCAAGTCAAATGCACTCAACCCTATCTCGGGGCTCGAGTCCCTAGACTCGGCGGCTATGGCTACCTCTGCCTCCTTTCCCGGCCTTGCCTCTGGCTCGACCACGACGAGGGCCCGTCTCTTCGTCCTGCGCGCGATGGCATGGTGCCTCTTGCTGCGCATGTGCTTCTCCCAGTCCTGCTCCGTCGTGCAGGTGACCTGGCACAGCTGGCACGTCTTCTGACACGGCGTGCGCCCTGCCGTCTCTGCCTCGAGGACCTTGCGCGCCAGCGGCGACAGGCCGACCGGCTCAGGCGTGGGCTCGCCGCCGAGGAACTGTCGCGCGATGGCGGCAGCGGGCTCGGCAACGTTGGCGGCCCACTGCGCCACGTCTGTGCTGTCGAGGAGGAAGAGGCTGTCCATGGCGCCGGGCTGCTCTTGCAGGCGCGGCACGACCTTTGTCGTGATCCAGCGGACCTGCGACTTGGCGTAGCGCCGCGTTGACGCCTTCATGTCCTCGAGGCCCTGCGCCTTGCGCTTCTCGACTTCTGGGTCGGCGGGCGTCGCGGCGGCGGCGTGGAGGTATGGCTGAAACTCCTTAAAACCGATCGACTGCCAGATGCCCTTTGTGTAGTCCACCTCCTCGCCCGACGCCTCCTTGGCCCGCACGTGGTTCTGCATCTGCAGCACCTCGTCCATGAGGCCGACGTCCAGCATCTTGTCCACGCGCCTGTCGAGGCGCGGCTTGAGCACCTCGGGCTCCGAGTAGACCCAGAAGAGGAGATTCTCCCAGGGCCCGCGGGGCGCCGTCTGGGCGGCGGCGGCGGTGGCGACGGTGCGGCGCTTCTGCTCGGCGTAGATCTCCGACGCCGGCCGCCCGTGGCTGAGGTAGATCTGCAGCGAGCGCGAGATCTTGCGCCGGTCGTTGGGATGCCACTTGTCGGCCATGACGGGGTCGACGTCGCGTAGCTTGGCTAGGATGACCTCTGTCGGCTCGTCGAGGATCGGGAAGCGGCCGGCGTCGGAGGTAGTGGCTTCGTCGGCGGCGGTGGTAGCCTCTCCGTCGTCATTGTGGTCGGGCCCGACGAAAATGTCCTCGAACAGCAGCGCGTTGGTGTAGTAATGCGTGCCGCCGACGACGATGGGGAGGTTGCCCCTGCTGCGGATCTCGCGTATGACTTTGTTGGCCTCGCGCTTGAAATCGCCGACGATCCAGGCCGGCTCGTCGAGGGGGATGTGGTCGAGGAGGTGGTGGGGGATGCCGCGTCGCTCGACCGTCGTCATCTTGTTGGTGATGACGGGGAGGCCTTGGTACAGCTGCATGGCGTCGGCGTTGATGACCTCGCCGCGGAAGCGCGTCGCGAGCTCGACGGCGAGGTCGGACTTGCCGGTGCCGGTCGAGCCCAGGATGACCACGAGGGGTTCCTTGGGCGGGGATCTCGGGGTCATCGTGCCCATTGTGCGAGCATGGCGGGAGACAACCTTGAGCATGCGACGATGGTTGTAAGGTGGGGTTGGCAGCGGGTGGGAGACGGCAGGCGAGGGCTCGAAGTATGACAGATAACCTCAAAGCAGAAACAGCAACGTGGCAGGAGAGGATGCGAAGCCCAACGAAGCGAGAAGAAGCGGGTGCCTGGGGATAGCTTCACCATGAGAAGGCTGGAATGCTCACAAAGTACGAGAACAGGAAGGACCCTGACAGACAACAGTCAGACACAGCACTGCAACCGAGACGGGAAAAAAAGAGCGGGTCCGGGGGAAGGACGGTTGCGGGTTAGGGTCTCCTACTCGTACAGGGGCCTTTCAGGGGACCTTCCAGCGGGCACTTGGGGGGGGATATTGGGCTGGACATTGGAGGACCGCGAGGTCACGTGCCCTCCCCACACCCAAGCACCTCTGGACACATAGACAATTTGGAGTTTTGAAGCCAGATCGCAGGGCCGATTCGAGCCACGACCCTCTTTTGGCTTCCACCCACCCCTTCCCCTTCCATTCCCCCAATCCATCAAGCTCGACTCTCACCAAGCTTCTTCCCTCCTTAATATCCCCCTCCCCCCTTCCCCCCCCCCGAATCCGCTCCTCACGACATCTTCTGGGCCATCGCCGCTCAGCTTCTTCTTCTTCTTCTATCCCATCTGCTGGGCGAATTGGAACCCCTTTTGTGTTTTTCCTTCTGAACAGCCGCCATCATGAGTTCCTGTGAGTACTTTCTCCCGACAGCTTCGTCCGAGCTGCTTCTCCTGCTCCCCCCCCCCGAAAAGCTGTGCCCACGCGCCGCATCGTTTCCTCTCGCCACATCGACCTCGACCAGCCTGCATCGAATGCGGTGCTCCGCTTGCTCGAATTGGCCGTTGAGCTTTCCAGACAGAGCTGCGAAGCCGCATCGCACACCTGAGAGCGCACCATGCTGACCCGACGCGACAGTGCGCTTCCTTGACCTGGTCAAGCCCTTCGTGCCGTTCCTCCCTGAGGTTCAGCAGCCGGAGACCAAGATTCCCTTCAACCAGAAGCTGATGTGGACGGCCCTGACCCTCCTCATCTTCCTCATCATGAGCCAGATGCCCCTCTACGGCATTGTCTCCTCGGACAACTCCGACCCCCTATACTGGCTGCGTATGGTCATGGCGAGTAACCGCGGTACCCTCATGGAGCTCGGTATCACCCCCATCATCTCCTCCGGCATGGTCTTCCAGCTCCTCGCCGGCACCCACATGATCGACGTCAACCTTGACCTCAAGTCCGACCGCGAGCTGTACCAGACCGCCCAGAAGCTCCTCGCTTTCGTCCTGTCCGCCGGTACCGCCACCGTCTACGTCTTCTCTGGCCTCTACGGCCCGCCCTCCGACCTCGGTGCCGGTATCGTCTTCCTGCTCATCCTCCAGCTCGTCGTCGCCGGCATGATTGTCATTCTCCTCGACGAGCTCCTGCAGAAGGGATACGGCCTCGGCTCCGGCATCTCGCTCTTCATCGCCACCAACATTTGCGAGTCCATCATGTGGAAGGCCTTCTCCCCCACGACCATCAACACCGGCCGTGGTCCCGAGTTTGAGGGCGCCGTCATCGCCCTCTTCCACCTGCTCCTCACCTGGCCCAACAAGCAGCGTGCTCTGCAGGAGGCTTTCTACAGGCAGAACCTCCCCAACATTATGAACCTCCTTGCCACTCTGGCCGTGTTTGGCGCCGTCATCTACCTCCAGGGCTTCCGCGTCGAGATCCCCGTCAAGTCCTCGCGCCAGCGTGGTGCTCGCGGCTCGTACCCCGTCCGCCTGTTCTACACCTCCAACATGCCCATCATGCTGCAGTCGGCTCTGTCCTCCAACGTCTTCCTCATCAGCCAGATGCTCTACTCCCGCTTCTCTGACAACCTCCTCGTCCGTCTCTTCGGTGTCTGGGAGGCCAAGGAGGGCACCTCGCAGCTGTCTGCCATTTCCGGTCTTGCCTACTACATGTCCCCCCCCCTCAACATGAAGGACGCTCTGATTGACCCTATCCACACGGTCGTCTACATCGCCTACATGCTGACTGCCTGCGCCGTCTTCTCCAAGACCTGGATCGAGGTGTCTGGTTCCAGCCCCCGCGATGTCGCCAAGCAGCTCAAGGACCAGGGTCTCGTCATGGCCGGTCACCGTGACCAGTCCATGTACAAGGAGCTCAAGCGCATCATCCCCACCGCCGCCGCCTTCGGCGGTGCCTGCATTGGTGCTCTCTCTGTCGCCAGTGACCTCATGGGCGCCCTCGGCTCCGGTACCGGTACCCTTCTGGCTGTCACGTAAGTCCATCACCCGAAACGATGCCTCCCACCATGTTTCATCCACTAACTCGACCTCTCACAGCATCATCTACGGCTACTTCGAGATCGCCGCCAAGGAGGGTGACCTTTCGGGCATGAAGGGCATGATCATGGGCTAGATGTGTACATCAGCTCAGGTTCAGGAAATTAACCTCCTCGACACCACGAAGCCTCTTCCTTTGTCTACGGAGGCTTCGGGCCGCCGCGTGAGAGACCCGGCGGGCCCATTGTGTAATATCAAGGAAAGATAAAAAAGAAGTCATATTGAGTCTTTTCATTTATGGCGTCGCTTTACTACTGCCTCGATCGAAAAAAAAATGAGCTTCGAGGTACAAGGGTCCCCAGAGGTAGCGGCATCGCTGTGCATCGGCAGCGAGCATGATGTTTTTGGTCCTGACAGTCTCGACGCGTGAGGAGACTGGCGGGAGTGTACCAAAGAAAGGTGTATGCAATCAAATTTTAAGCGCATTGGCCTGATCGTGTCTGTGATTTCTGTCGTGCACCGCTTTTTTGTTGTCTGGCAGCTGCGAGTTGGGCCATCCTTGGGTGACCAATGAGGAGTGCAATAAAGGACACTGCTATGAGTGAACGCTCAACGAGCTGTCTCCAACCACCCTAAATCCTTCGAACCGCTACTTGGAATCCGTACAGGATTCAGAACCGTATCTCGCGGAACAGCGGATCATCTGGCTCGTGTCGCGTCAGTGAGGTCGACTCGATCGCGATCGGTCGATGGTGTGAGCCACCCATCCGCAGAAGGGCATGTATGTTCATTTTGAAATATCCATATTTACCGCGAGTCTAGCATCGGACGCGTCTTTTGCGTGAGTAGACCCATACACAAGGAGAAATCCCCATCCCTTGGGCCCAGAGACAAGACAGGGGAAACCCGCGCCCCGATCGGCGCGCGCGTCGTCCCTGGAATGGGCCGTGACATGCCAGCGGGTCGCGGCGTCCCTCTCCATGTACCTCTCCCCGAACCCCCCCAGAGTCGGCCATCGACAGTAGGGTTCGTGCGACGCTGCCACGACCAATCGGCCGTTTAGCGATTCGGCAGGAGCGGATACTGCGTCAAATCGGACGAGCGTGATGGTCTTGGGAGGGCCGGTTGCTGCATACATCCGCCGTCACTTGACCGGGGCTTGTGTAGTGGAGTCGGCTGCTACCCTATCTTCCGAGCGAGACGCTGTTGAAAGCCTTCCCGAAAGAGACAGACGAACTACAGCGTTGCAGGGACGATCAGAGTTTCTGTCAGTGTCTCACCGCCGCGGTGCTCGATGTACAGTACAGGGAACAGCAGAGGTTTGGCTTGCGTGCCCCTTCCATTCTCCTCCCCGCAGGGCCGAGAGGGCGGCGCGCGCGCGCGGACCGAGACAGGCACATGCCCGGATGCCTTCGTTTCTGTGGTGGGTGACACCGCAGGGGCGGGTGGGCGGGTGTCAGACTGTCTCCTTCGTGCTTGGTTCCGATGCTGTGCTACTGGTGCTGTGCTGCTCAGCTGCTCATTTGCTCTCTGGAGAGTCAGCAGCATCTGATAATGGAGGCACATGGCCAATGGGGTTCGTTGGCGAGCTGTTGCTGGGGGCGGTGCCGGTCTCGGAGGGGACCGTGTTATCTGATCTGATCGAAGGGATGGATGAGCAGACAACCTGTGCAGAGGCCTTCAGCACCCGGAAGAGACTCCTCTCACTGGGTGAGGCAGCTATGGACGCAATCGAGATGCGTAGCGTTGGAGTTGCGTCCCCCCGTCACTCGCTCGGCACCCACGGCGGAGACTACGTACTGTACATACGTGGGTGGGCAATGGGGTCAAAAAGGCGTGCTAGGGCTGGAGCTGCATTGCGTGCGTCAGAAGGCGGCGCGCTGCGATGTGGTTGAACGGCACTGCTGGGAGGGAACACGCACAGTAGTGCGCACAAACGCCATGTGCGTTGACGGTTCGTTAGCGCAGCCGGTGCCCAGTGTTTGGGACGGTAGAGCTCGGCGGCCCGGTCTCACGCTGACATCATGGAACGGGCGGGTTCCTCCGCCGTGTATGTGCTCCATCATGCTTTTGTATGGCAGGGCGATGGTCGGTATGGCATGATAATGCCGGCAGTCTTTTGGTTGGTGCGTTCCCGCATTGGGTCCTCTGGTATCAAGGAGGCTTGCATCGGTGCCCCCGGCGTGCGAGAGCAGGACGGACGGGTTGTGTGCGGTGTGACTAGACGCGCAGAGGGAGGTGGGAAATGATGCCCCGGGACCTCAGGGTGGCAGGGCGTGAGGTGCTAGCCGGGACGAGCCAGGGCAAGGGGTCGACGTTGGGAGGCCAGGAGAGCAGGGCCGGGCAGAGGAGCAGGCAGTGCTGGAAAAGCTTCTTCACTGAAGAAGACTGACCGCAAAGCCCAATGGCGGTCTGGCTTGATCGACGCTGTGGACATGGATCATAGAGTCTGGCGATGCTGCGAAGCAACCTCACTCGCAGACGGCGGCAACCCGTGCCTATCGGGTGTGTGTGTGTGTAAGCACCTTAACAGACGGATGCCCTTCGCAGACGGATGCCCTTCGCAGACGGATGCCCTTCGCAGACGGAGGGCACTTGGCAGACGGAGGGGAAACCGTGGGCCGAAGAAATTCTTCAGTGGGGTAAAACGCTGTGGAGGAGCGGATTGCACGGTGGAGTGGCGAGGGTATCCAAGTGGGGTGATCGTGCCTGCTTCAAGTTCTCCAGGTGTCGGTTGCTGCTTCCTACTGTCATGAAGCTCCACCAGCTGCACCTGCCCTGCTACGGCCCTCCCCCATGCCCGGCGCCGCGCTTGCCAGTCCCGTGGAACTCAAGACCTCCATTGCTCATACGTGCTGGTGCCCTCGCAGTCCCGATCATCTGGATCTCTTTCTCTGCATCTGCTTCCGCCTCCGCCTCTGTGCTCAGTCTCCTCGCGTCTGTCTCTGTCTCTTCCTTCGTACCCTTCTCTCCCTCGCGAAAGGAAAAATCGCCCACAGACAGGGCCCCGAGAACAAGGCCCAGTCCTCCTGCCACAGTGTACACTAAGACAATCGAAATACAGATAGCGGCCCTGACGTGACCGCCTCTTCCCTGTCACGAGCCCACGACTAATTCCAAAAGTATTCCCTGGCCCGACAGTCTCGCGAGTCGCGACTCCACCTGGCAACCTACATCTTTTGCCTCCCAGGCTGTCCACTTTCGGATTTCGAGTGGCCTTGCGTGTCTGTTGCTTCTTTTTTGCCCACTCACCAAACGGCGACGGCCCATCACCATTGACGATTGTGGCCATTGGCGACCGTCCTCGACCGTCCTCGACCAGTCCCCACGACCGGATCCTCACCAACAAGTCATCGTCGATCATCAACACAGCACAATCTGTCTGCGCCGTCCCAATTCTCCTTCCCCGCCCTCCTGGTGTTGGGTTGAGCGCACACTGCCCGGAACCGAGGCTACCCACCCCGGCACGTCGCAGACGCGGACACCGTCACCGAACGTACATAGCAGCGGATCATGGGCTTCGCGCAGTGCGGCTGGCCGATATGGCAGGTTGATGATTTCTCCCTCTGCTTCCAGCAAGAGTATGTCCCTCCCCTGCCTGCGCGCGCTGCCCTCAAACTCGGCTTGGCCCGTCATGGAGAGCAGCAAATACGGGAAGTCAATGGCTAAACAAAGACCGCCAACAGTTTTCTCAAAGCACTATTTCCATTAATCACGATAGCTGTCTCGTTTCTCATTCTCCTCTTTCCGTACGCCTGGCGCGCAGCGTCCCACATCTCTCTTCGAAAGCGCGGCTACGAACCTCTCGCAAACGCCGCCGATGACCATGCCAACACGGCCGCGAATCACACCGATCTCCCACCCGACGAGCTCGACGACAGCGACGACAATGACGAGCCTCTGACCATGAACCGCAACGGCGGCGGCCGTCTCTCGCTCGTCAAGACGACAACGCGCGGCTCCGTCATCTCGATTGTCCAGGCCGACAGCCCCCATGCCCAGAAATTGTCGGTATTCGTCGAAGAGGCTGCCATCGTGGGACTCATTGCCATCTACATCACTGCTATCGTCACTGGCGGTTACGGCGAGAAGGGAAAGCTGTCTGCCGTTGCTGGTCTCGTGGCGTGGCTCTACGTCTTTGCCATTGCCACGCTCCGTCTCACCCTCACCAGCACTCAATGGCGAGTCCCCGCGACCCTGTGGAACCACACCGCTTCCATCTACGGCTGCCAGTGGCTGTTCACCACATTCATTTTCCGCTCCGTCTTGATCCATCCGAGCAGTCGCCTGATCCAAATCCTCGTCGTTGTTGAGTTTGCCCTGACGACATTCCTCTTCGTCATGGCCATTAGCACGAGGAAGGGCAACAAAACTGTCTTGCTCGAGTGGGAAGACGGCGTTGAGCCCTCGCGCGAGCCCCTGGCCTCCCTGCTGTCGCTCGCCACCTTCTCCTGGATCGACCCCATGATCTGGCGTGGGTACAAGGAGACCATCGAGATGAAGGCCGTCTGGAACCTTGTTCCCCAGGAGAAGGCTGCCGCCGTCCTTGCCGACTACCGAACTCTCAAGAGGACGACCTCGCTGGCCATGCATCTGCTCAAGTACTTCAAGGGCGAGCTCATTTTTCAGTGCTTCCTTGCCTTCATTGGAGGTGTCTTCACATTTGCTCCGACACTGCTGCTCAAGGCTATCCTCGAATATGTCGAAAGACCCGACGAGGCGCCGATCAACGTGCTGTGGCTTTACGTGCTTCTCCTGCCCATTCTCGACCTTGTTCGCTCCTTCGGTGATGGGATGGCCCTTTGGATCGGTCGAAAGATTTGCATTCGTATCCGCGCCATCATCGTCGGTGAAATTTATGCCAAAGCGCTGCGGCGCAAGGCCGCGGCCGGCGCGGAAAAGGTCCTTGGCGAGAAGAAGGATCAAGCCGATGCTGGCAAAGAGGGCACCATGGACAAGATTAAGCGAAAGCTGCGCCTCAAGAAGAAGAAGTCGCAAGACTCAGCCTCCGATGCCGAGGCGTCCGCCGCTGGTGCGCCGAAGGAGGCCAAGACGGACGACGAACAGGCAAACCTTGGAACCATCATCAACCTCATGTCGGTCGACAGCTTCAAGATTGCTGAGATTACCGCCTACCTCCACTTCCTCTGCGCCTCCGCTCCGACCCAGCTTGTCATCTCAGTTGTTCTGCTTTGGCAGGTGATGGGCCTGAGCGCCATTCCTGGACTCGTTGTCATGGCGTTGCTGCTCCCCGTCAACTATGGCTTTGCTCGCGGATTCACCAACACTTCCAAGCAAATCCTCAAGGCTACGGACAAGCGTATCAACGTGACGAACGAGATTCTCAACAACATTCGCATCATCAAGTATTTCGCATGGGAGCAGCGATTCGGAAGGATCGTCGATGAGAAGCGAGCTGCGGAGCTCCAGGCCCTGCGGTCGCGCTTCGTCATCTGGTCATGCGCTGTTGCCGTTTGGAACTCGGTCCCTGTTCTCATCACGTTCTTCTCCTTCCTCATCTACACTGCTGTCGAGAAGAAGCCTCTCTACCCCTCAGTCGCCTTCACTGCCATTTCGCTCTTTATGCTCCTCCGTGTGCCCCTCGACCAGTTCGGCGACATGTTCGCCCACGTGCAAGAGACAAAGGTATCTCTTGACCGTGTCGAGGAGTTCCTGATGGAAGAGGAGACGGAGAAATATGAACAGCTCGGCGTTGACAATCTGGACGAAAATGGCAAAGAGACCATCGGGTTCAGGGATGCCACCTTCATTTGGGGCGGCAAGGATACCATTGCTCAAGATGGATCGATGGCCTTCCGCCTGCTCGACCTGAACGTGGACTTCAAGATTGGCCATCTCAACATCATTGCCGGCCCGACAGGATCTGGCAAAACTTCCATGCTCATGGCTCTTCTTGGTGAGATGACCTTGGTCGACGGCAAGGTATACTGTCCCGGTGGTCGCAGCCGAGAGGACGTCCGCCCTGATCCTGAGACTGGACTGGCCGATACGATCGCCTATGTTGCACAGTCCGCTTGGTTGGTCAATGCCAATATCAAAGAGAACATTCTTTTCTCGGCCGATCTCGACGAAGAGAGGTACAAGAATGTCATTGTTGCCTGTGCTCTGGAACGCGACCTCGAGATTCTCGACAACGGCGACGAAACCCTTGTCGGAGAGAAGGGCATCACACTTTCCGGCGGCCAGAAACAGCGCATCTCACTGGCGCGTGCCCTCTACTCGAACTCCCGCCATCTTCTGCTCGACGACTGTCTGAGCGCCGTCGACTCTCATACCGCACAGTGGATCTTCAACAACGCCATCCACGGCCCGCTCATGCTCAACCGGACGTGCATTCTCGTCACTCACAACATCCAGCTCTGCGCGCCCTCTGCTAACTTCGTCGTCGTCCTGGACAATGGAAGAGTGGCAGTCCAAGGCCCTGCCGGTGAGCTCATCGAAGCCGGAAAGCTCGGCGAGGATGTCCAGCGATCCCGCCCCGGTACTGCTTGCGCATCCCGTATCCCGTCCCGCGTCCCCTCCAGCGTCGGAGAAGACAGCGCCGAGACGGTCGTGAATCCCGGGGATGAGAACGGAAATGGTGCGCCTGCCAAAGACCCTACGAAGAAGAAGGAGCAGAAGGACGCCATGGACGAGAACAAGGCCGTCGGAGCTGTCAAGTGGCCGATCATTAAGCTCTACCTTGGCTCGATGGGCCCCTGGTGGTTCTGGATCGTCGCCGGCGTTGTGTTCAGTCTTCAGCAAGTCTCAGGCGTCGCCACGAACGTTTGGGTCCGAGAGTGGGCCAATCAATATGTTGTCGAAGAAGTCGACCGTATCGACTTCTCCACCGCGTCCCACAGCTACAGCCAACAGAGCCTGTCGCCGACCTACTTTGCACACATTGCACACTATGGCTTTGTCGGCAACGCCACGACCTTCGGCATTGAGGCATCTCATGGTGTCAATGTGGCATACTACCTCACCGGTCTCGCGGTCATTGGCATTCTCGGCGCCTTGACTGCCTTCATTCGTGATATTTGGATCTTCTATGGTTCTCTTACGGCATCCAAGAAGATCCACACGTCGCTCATGGAAGCCGTGTCGAGGGCCAAGTTCAAGTTCTTCGATGTGACCCCTCTCGGCCAGCTCATGAACCGTTTCAGCAAGGACCTCGAGGCTGTCGACCAGGAAGTCGCCCCCATCGCTATTGGCGTCATTGGGTGCGCTCTGGGTATCGTGGTCACTGTCGCGCTCATTGCTTTCATCACGCCCGGTTTCCTCATTGCCGGTGTCTTCATCACCATTGCCTACTGGCTCGTTGGCTCGTTCTATCTCCGGGCCTCTCGCGATTTGAAGAGACTGGAAGCCGTCCAGCGGAGCCCTCTCTTCCAGCAGTTCAGCGAGACCCTTTCTGGCATGACTACGATCCGTGCCTATGGCGACGAGCGCCGCTTCATTCGGGAGAACCTTACCAAGATCAACACCCAGTCGCGACCTTTCATTTACATGTGGGCTTGCAACCGTTGGCTGTCGTTCCGCACCGATCTCCTCGGCGATCTTGTGTCTTTCTTTGCGGGAGTCTTTGTCATTCTCAGCCTGGGCAAGATTGATCCTGGTGCGGCTGGTATCTCGCTCAGCTATGCCATTGGCTTCACGGAGAACGTTCTGTGGCTCGTCCGACTGTACGCTCTGAACGAACAGAACATGAACTCTGTCGAGCGAATCAAGGAGTATCTCGACGTCGAACAAGAAGCGGAACCCATCATCGAGAAGAATCGACCCGCCGCCAACTGGCCCAGCCAGGGCTCCATCGAGTTCATCGGGTACACGACGGCTTACCGCAAGGAACTCGACCCCGTGTTGCGCAACCTCAGCTTCAAGATCAACCCCAAGGAAAAGGTCGGCATCGTCGGCCGTACTGGCGCCGGCAAGAGTTCGCTCGCTCTGGCCATCTTCCGTGCGCTCGAGGCGGACGCGGGTAAGATTCTTATTGACGATGTCGATATTGGTCTCATTGGCCTTCGTGATCTTCGCGAGGCCATCACTATCGTGCCCCAGGACCCGACTCTCTTCCAGGGTACCATTCGCACCAATCTTGACCCCTTCGACACGTACGCCGACGAGCAGATCTTTGAGGCTCTGCGCAAGGTGCAGCTCATCGGCCCCAGCGAGTCCTTGACCAGGCCGCAGACGCCCGCAGCCTCGTCTCTGAACCCCGGAACACCGACCATTTCCATCTCGAGCGACGGCGCCCCTGTTCGTAGCCCCGCCGCATCAATTGCACCGACCAACAAGAACATCTTCCTCGATCTCTCTTCTCCAGTCAGCGAGTCTGGATCCAACCTCTCGCAAGGTCAGAGGCAACTGCTCTGCCTGGCACGGGCTATTCTTAAGAACCCCACGGTGCTGGTCATGGACGAGGCGACTGCATCCATCGACTACGCAACAGACTCCAAGATTCAAGAGACGATCCGCGAATTGACGAGTACTATTATCACCATTGCGCATCGCCTGCAGACCATTGTCGACTATGACAAGGTCCTTGTTCTCGACAAGGGTTCCGTCGTGGAGTACGGACACCCCTATGAGCTGATCCGCAAGGAGAAAGGCAGCTTCCGCAGCATGTGTGACATGAGCGGCGAGTTGGACCTCCTCATAAAGGCGGCGAAGAAGAAGTGGGACTCGGGCCGTCTCGTAGATGTCGATGAGGAGGAGCAGTGAGAAGCTTGCTATACGCATTGCGGCGTTACGAATATGACGTGTCTAATAGAGGGGGGGACGCAGTGTCTTCGTTTGTACGATGAAAAAAGGCCTTGCATGGCTTGAACAGGTCGTTCTTATCTTGTTTGAAGCTTTTCCTACGGTGTTTAGCCGTGTCCATATCATGGGTGTTCCGCACGGGGCTGGGCGGTATGATAGATAGAATCCAGGGCCAAGCTCCTTCTCACGATTTCCTCACGCTCGTCCTGACATGTGAAAGCTTGATTTGCGTACCGTCATGACTAGTTCGCTGCCCGGGCCCCCGTGCCAGGAACCGTGGCCAGAGGGATACTCGCCTTTCACTACCATGTTGGCAGGTGGTCGATCGCTCTCGACATGTTCTCACGTAACGGCTAATTCACTTAGCACCTCCCCCGGAACTACCCTGCGATGCTCATGAAGAATGATCCGGATCCATACCTGCATGCCAAGCGGGCTGAAATCGGCTCATCGTCCCATCCGCCCTAATCCCCCGAAACACGCGCTCGAAAAACTCCATGTCCAGCGAGCCGTCCCCTGCACAGGGTATGACGGGCTGCAGATCCCCCCGTGACACGATCCCGCGGCATCCCCCTGCCGGGCACGAAACTGTGGCCCAGCCCCTCCCCCTCCGCGGCCACGTCGTTCGTGACCAGCGGGATCGGCTGCAAGATCACGGGGCCCGCGCCGGCGAGCGCGGCGAGGACGGGGGTGAGGCGGCGCTCGCAGAAGAGGAGGATGTGGTGGGTTAGGCGTTCCAGGGTGCGGCGGCCGAGGGCGCGGATGGAGGGGTGGAGGGCGAGGTCGCGGTAGCAGAGGGGCGCGAGCTGGTTGAGAGAGAAGGACTGTAGATCTGGCTGGTTGGGGGGGGGACCTGATGGAAGAGGCTCTGTGCTGGGATGCGGTGCGGGAGGATGGCGAGGTGGATGTCGATGGGGTGGGGAGTGGCGGTGTAGCGGATGTGGAAGTCGAGCTCGAGCTTGTAGGGGACGTCGGAGACGGGGGCTGGACTGGCTGTTGGGAGGAGGTGGTGCGAGGCGTTTGGTGGCAATGAAGTTGCGAACTTGATGGAGAGAGTGTTGATGGTGGGAGGACGGGCGGGAGAAATGGCTTGAAGGGTTGATTATTGTGGCGAGGGCCGTACTTCGCGCTCCTTCCGAGGCAATAGGACTTGGTCGTCTTTGTGTTTGTTGTTTGCCATGTTGAAGTTGGATACTGATGCTTCGCTGAATGGTGTGGTCAAGTTTCTGTTGCTGAAGGCTAGGGATTTCATTGATCATTGTGTTAGCGGGTTGTCTCATGAAGTAGAGGCTTATGAGCTCATGAAGGCTCAGCGGTTGCTGTGAATAGCCACAGGTGAGCGATTCTCGGGAATCGCGATTATCATGCTAAGTGAGGATTTGGAAGTTGCAAGTTGCATTGTTCGTTCACTGCATGATACCGTCGGAAGCGCGATTCACACACCATGCTATGGTTCTGTAGTTTATTCAAAGGGGCGAGGTCAGAGCTTGCGCAGGGGAAGAGGCCACGGTTACCACCATGATGTCTAGTCTACAGAATATCCCCAAGAGACCTCCAGATCTCTTTATGACTGTAGCTTTCAGTTAACTTCATCATGAGCTGCGAGTTCGAGACTCAACGAGAGCGAGCTTCCAGGCGGTATTGGCTGGTACCAACTGTCACATCGAGGAGTACCGCACATAAACCCCTTTTCAAGACGGCTGGCCTCAAAGTCGCTGCGTAGAGGAGTAGCACATCGTTCCTCATCATGTTTTGCTAACGAAATGAAGTCCATTCTGAAGCACTTCAGCTCTCAAAATAGCGGCGACTCAACCTCATCCACAATCTGCACCTTGATGCTCCCGTTCCTCACATCAGAGGACAGCGTCAGAGCCTCCTCCGCCTTTTCAAGCGGAAACGTATGCGAGATGAGTTTGTCCAACTTCAATATCCCACCGCTCAGGCACTGGATGCCCGGCGCCCACGTATCCCTGTACCGGTTGATAAAGTCGAGCTTGATCTGTCGACCAGTCAGTACAGAGCCATTTAGACAGCCACGGGGGCCCAAGCAAGCCGGGTTGGAATCTCACCTCGGACAGCGAAATGTGCATAAAAGGCAGATTGTTCATCACCTCCCTCCCCACCCCAATGACCATGACCGTGCCGCCCCTCCGCACCGCAAACGACGCGGCGCAGACGCTGCTCTCGACCCCGGTGCACTCGAGCACCGTCCTCGGCGCGACGTACTCCCCCGCCGTCTCGGTGCCGAACAGCGCCCGGATCGCCCTCCCGTTGCCCTCTGCGCCCAGACTCGGGTCGACGCGGTAGGTGAGGCACTCGGGCACGAGCTCCTTGGCGAAGGCGAGGCGCAGAGGTTCAATGTCGGTGATGACGAGGGGGTGGGCGCCTGAGGCGCGGGCGGCGGCGAGCGCGATGAGACCGATGGGGCCGGCGCCGCAGATGACGGCGCCGGTGCCCAGCTCGAGGCCGGCGGTACGGATGCCGTGCAGGACGACGGAGAGGGGTTCAAGGAGGGCGCCTTGGGCGTAGGATATGTTGTCGGGGAGCCTGGAAGGTTAGCTTTGTGAATATTTGCGACAGCTGGTTTCATGATCAAGATGTAGACAGAGCTATGTCGCAATGGCTTCGGGACGAAGGACGTACTTGTAGAGCCACTTGGCGGGATGCGTCTTGTAGCGCTGCAGCGTGCCGTGGTAAGGATAGACGCCGGCGAACTGTACGTCCTCGCAGAGGTTATAGCGGCCTTCGAGGCAGAGGAAACAATCGCCGCACGGAACGCCGGGCTCGATTGCGACGCGGTCGCCGGGGACAAAGTTGGTGACGCCCTCTCCTACACGGATGACGACGCCGGCGGCCTCGTGGCCGAGGATGCAGTCGCCTTCGACCACAAGGGTGCCGATGCGGCCGGATTTCCAGAAGTGAATATCGGAGCTGCTTCGTCAGGGAAACGTCCCGAGATGAAAAGAAAAGAGTGGCTTTTGGGGGTTCAAACTCACCCACACACGCCCGTTGCCTTGATCTGAAGCAGGACCTCCCCCTTCTTCGGCGCGAGGACTGGCGCCTCGACAGTCTTGATCCGGTGGTCGGCTGTGACTTGGAGTGAAGGGTTGGGTAGCGGCGCCTGGAGGACCTCGGCGTCGTTGACAGCAGGGATCTCCTTGATGGTGGTACTAGTGAAGCCTTTGCTGCTGTTCTTCACAAGGAGACAGCACGCGACCTCGGGTTCAAGAACCGCGGGTGCCATTGTGATGATCGATCGACTTGTGTATTATGCTCTTGAAGCGCCAACGGCCCTGATTCGTTCCGGATGTCAGCGGCTTCTTGTCGTCAATTCCGTTTTCTTTCCCTGGCCGTCAATCTGCTGCGGTTGTGGAACAGGCCTGGTGTATTCAGTGGTTGTCTCGAATATGTAGAATGTCGCTCAATCAAACGATCGCTCGCCAAAATATGTTTCTTATGATAGAGGAAAGTAGACCCGGAGCCTCATCGTTGCCGAAGTACAACGAGGGGTCTTGGTCCATATGAGAGGCAATGCAGTGTTAAGATTACCCTTCTTGGAAGAGGCCATGTGGGAGTGCTTCCCATTGCCTAACACGGAAAGGAGGGGGGGCGGTTCCAGATGCCATCGGACACGGACGGCGGTTGCGGGAGTCCCCGTTTCTCGAATCGGGGACGTCGGAGGAATCGGCCAGTCAAATGTTTGATTTCTCGGATGTTCGCCGTGTTCCAGATGTCTTTACCTGTTGCTTTCTCACAGAGCGTAGCTGAGTAAATACGTCTTACAGACCTGCTGTTTTCACACCCGAACTTGGGAGAAAAATGTTGTGACGAGCATTAGGAGGGCGAAGAGGCTGGGGATGAACGTTTTTAGTCTGTTCTAATTTTCATTATCGTCTCTTTTGTCTATGCATCTACACTTCAACCGTCCCTGAATCCAACCATCCCGAATCAATTCACACTTCTCACTAAGCAAAAATGCGCAGCGGGTGATCTGGCAGGTAGAATCCCGGGTCGTTGAACCTCAACCCCCGATCCAGATCCGAGATGCTCTCCAGCTCCTCCGCCATCAAGTCGAACCCGTTGACCTCCAAGTTCTGCTTCAGCCTGTCCTGGCTGTTCGACTTGGGAATGACGGCGACGCCCCTCTGCGTCGCCCACCGCAGGAGCACCTGCGCCGGCGTGACACCGTACTTGCCCGCGAGAGACTTGATGGACTCGACCTCAAAGAGACCCTGTGCGCCGCGGGCGCGCTTGTTGAACGCAGGTGGCAGCTCCATGAAGGACTGGGGGCCGAAGGACGAGTAGGCCGTCACGGCAATCTTGTTCTCCTGCGCGAGCTGGACGAGCTCGGGCTGGACGAGGTAGGGGTGGTGCTCGATCTGCAGAGACGACAGCGGGTGGCGGTTGTAGGTGAAGATGTCGTAGAGAGACTGGGCCTGGAAGTTGCTGACGCCGATGGACTTGGCAACACCCTCGTCGACGAGCGACTCGAGGCTCTCCCACGTCTCGCGGATGGGGACCTTGTCGGTTTCGACAGAGGAGCGCTCGGCATCGTTCCACCAGGCCTAGGGAGGGTCAGACTTGGGAGAGAATTTTGAGTCTACACAGATGGCGACGACGTACCGGGTAGGGCAGCTTCGAGGGCTCAATGTACTTCAGGGCACAGGGGAAGTGGATGAGAAAGAGGTCAATGTAGCCAAGACCCCAGGCCTCGTTCTGCTTCCTCGCCATATCGATGGCATGCTCCTTGCGGTGATAATTGTTCCACAGTTTGGTCGTGATGAAGATATCCTCGCGCTTGACGAGCCCCTCCTTGATCGCGCGCTGGATCCCCTCGCCGGCCTCCTTCTCGTTCTGGTAGTCGTACGCTCCGTCGAACAGCCTGTAGCCGACTTTGATGGCCTGCAAAATGAGACATTAATATGTTTCTCTGTCGCGCGAGGGCACATGGTGGTCGAAACATACATTGTAGACAGTGTCGGCGCAAGTCTCGCGGGGCACCTTCCACAGGCCGAAGCCCACCAGAGGCATCTCGTGGCCTGACGCCAGGGTAATCGTTGACTTGCCCATGCTGAGATTTTGGGGGAGATTAGTGAGGTGACTTGGTTGTGAAGGGAGTGCGTTATGCAAATGAGGACCGATCAGGGCCGCGATCCGCGTCCAGACATTTTCTTCCTTTTCAACTCTCTGTAAGATCCCACATCCACGATGCGGGACCACTGATACATTTCATCATGGTGACCCAAAGAGGCATGTTAGCCACTGGCTTCCATTTTGGGACATTCTAACCGCTGGAAGAGGGCCCGCTTGATTTCCTCGACAGGGATCTTGCTGCTTGAGCTTTGTCTCTTGACTCGCCAACACCGAGGCCGATGCGGGGAAATCGACGTTGTCTTCATTTTCTCCGTCGTTTCGCCGTTCGTCGCCTGCGGAAATGGCACGAATGCCGCTTTGTCCAGATGTTGAGCCTGTGGAAAAGTCATAGGCCTCCTCAGATCAGGTATTCTTGGAGATGACAGGAGATCTCAGAGGGGGAACATGTCCACCTACCTCACAGCCCGAGGCTCGCCTGTAGAGACCCTTGGTAGATCCCCCAAGTCAGGATCAGTTCTCCAGACGGCGTGCCCTGTTCTCCCACCCCACCCAGCCACATGGCCCTCCACTTGTTGAACCCAACTCGCCCATGGCCTCCCTCCGTCATTCGTCCCAATCCGACCAAAATATCCCTCCCACCCTCTCGCCAGACACGGGGCCTGCGCGAGCACAAGCATGGCGACCGACGACGCTCCGTCCAGAAGTCGCCACAAGAGGACGAGGACCGGGTGTATGAAATGTCGGACCCGGCGCCGCAAATGTGAGTCGGCCCACCATCCCCGGGACGTTCCAGTCCTGTGGCACCTCGACTGTGCCTGTGGGGTGACATGCCCACTGGGGTTCGGACCGCGAGAGGCCTGCTCTGGAGTCGCGAAATTGACATGCTGTGATCAGGCGACGAGGAAAAGCCAAAATGTCGGCGCTGCATTGAGGGCGGCTTTGACTGCCAGTACGGCCCGAGATTGACGTTCTTGCACAAGAATGCTCTCACAGTGCCGCCAACGCCCAAATCGAACGAGACGCAGTACTCTCGTCTTCAGGTGCGTACCGGGTCATGTATCCCTGCCATGACTGAATATTGCTGATGGTTCAAAGTTTGTTGATCCTGGGTCATCAGTCTCAACCTCGAAAGAGTCAGATGGGGGTGATGGCAACAATGACATGACGACGTCGCCGACGGCATCAGGCGCCACGCTGGAGCGACTGATGGAGTCGACGCCAATGAATCCAGAAGCACACGAGCTTGCGGCAGTTGAAACTCCCAGAGAGCAAGTGCCGTTCGTCAATGACCAATTCACGCCGGGACCCTGGCCACAGGATGGAGACCCCATTCATAGCTCGCCACAGCATTCTATGGTTGTGATGACCGACAGGATGCAGGCGTCTCCCAAAGACGCCGACTACCAAACTGCCCTGACTGTGCTCCTGTCTCTCGGCAACGATGAACCATCTCAAATTATCCATTCCCCAAGCCATGAACGTGTGGCGGCTTTACATCCACCCCTCGTGTCCTCACCCAGCAGCGCAGGTGCGTCGGTAACCGGGACCATCTCGCAGGAGACGATTCTGCAGCTGCTCCGACAATACCGATACCAAGTTGCTCCTTGGCTAGACATCTGCGACATGAGCCAGTGCTTTGGCCTCGTCGTGCCACGGTTGGCGATGGAATCTGGAAGCGCACTGCACTCGCTGCTTGCGCTGTCGTCCCAGTCGTTACAAGCCGAACGGCTAACACAAACGAAGGATCATTCTCTCCATATCATAACCGACACCAGCTTCATGCAGAATCAGGACCTCGAGTCCGTCAACGATTGCGAGCTCATTCATCTAGCACTCGCCAGTACAACGCACTTCCTCAGAGATGTGCCTGGCGCGTGGCATAGTACAACATGTCTTCTCGCTGATGGCGCTCACTTCAAAGAGCTAGGGCGTCCGCCTTCGAAATTACGACTATCAGTGCTTGGGTTGTTGTTGAGACTGGGTAAGTTCGCTTTCTTTTGTCCGACAGAGTCTCCAGCTGACGATGCTCCCAACAAGACCTCGGCAAAGCCCTCGTCAATGGCACGACTGTGTCGATTCCGGATCAGCTCAACTATCCAGCAAACCCCCCAGAGTGGCAAACATCGGCTATTGCCGACACTGTGTTCCAGTCCGCGAGCGAATCTCTTTTGTTGTGCGCCCAAGCTGTCAACTTTGGCGCTTGTAGCTTCCCAGCGCCAGCCTCCTCCACCACTGGCAGTGCTCCGCGGTCGCCGGTACAACGGTGGACCATGCTCCATGACGCTTTGAGCACTTGGTACACCAATCGTCCTCGGGAATTCCATCCCATGATCGAGATGGAAGTCGACGACAGTTTGTTCCCAGTGTTGCTTTTCACGAATGGCGCCGCCGTTTTCGCGAACCAATTATACCACACGGCCATGCTTCTCATGTTGCAGCACCGGCCTCGTACCCTGTCCGTCGGTGCCGCGCGAAAGGACCCTACCATGTCGCCGCTATGGCATGCCCAGCGTGTCTGCGGTATAGCGATGAACAATGACCGACGGGATAGCTGGGATTTGTGTCTGGTGGCTGCACTCTACCGAGCTGCTCAGCGCATGACATATGAGCCGCAACAACTGGCCGTGCTCGGCTGTTTCGAAAAGATCAAGACCATGACAGGTTGGGACGTCATCTTCTTCGTCACCAAGGCTCGAGAAGATTGGGGTATGGCCTCTGGATGAAGGGGAGTGTGCAGTTGTTATGTTCAGAATCAGACCGTGAGGTTGGTCATGCGCGAACTTTTGCCGCGGACTTTGTAGCCCCATGCCGACTCCAGGTCGTCAATCCGCCAGCATGTACCCCATCCCGTCATGGCCTCGATGCTCCGAATCAGCTGGACGAGAAGGGCATGCTCGGACTTGTGGCTCAGAAGACGCCCTGCCACCCACAAAGGCTGAATTGCATTGTTCAAGCAGCCCTGGTGCGGGTTCGCGAGGGAGATGCCACAGATGTGCTTGGCATGCCATACGGCCGAGCCGCTAATGCCGAGCTTCAGATTCGAGGGGCGTGGCGTGGAACCGAGGAGAAGGACGCAAGCAGTGTGGTAGAGCTGGTTGGAGGATATGGCGGCCCAGTGTAGGAAGAGGATCTGGGGAAAAGGCGTGCTTTGGATGGTCTGAGCAGGGAGCATTTCGGGCGGCCGATTCAGATTCCATGACTGAAGGTCATCCCACAGACGGAGCCAGCGGTCGTTCAGGTCGTCAGGGTTGACGCTGGTGTCGTCGCCAAGCTCGTAAAAGCGTGTGCGGTCTGCGACAAGCTCGCATACTTTGGCGCAGAGGTAGACGGCATGGTTGGCGTACATGTCCGGCGAAGTGGACTGGCGAAACAGGTCCACAGCCTCAGAGTGTGTAGCACCACTAGGAAGCCATTTCGACGGTTGAAGAAGAGTGCTCTCCGTTCCATCTGAAATGAGGGCACCACAGAGATCTAGTGGTGTGCTGTTAGGATGTGCACTTCAGAAAAGGCATGAAGGAGGTCTTTGCCGCCCTACTTACCCATCCTTGCATAACACCAAAAAACAGCCTGCAATAAACCCCCGGTGAAGCCGTGTACGTTGAATGAGTCGAACAAGGCAGCACAGCCTTCGAGGTGCTTCCTCCAATCTTGGGCACTCGCCGACATCATCTCCATACAGCAGAGAATTGTGCAAATGGGGATAATCTTTTGATCACGAACCTGCAATAGAGGTGTGAGCAACCGGATGGCCTCTTGGTAGAGTTCGAGACTGTCGAAAGAGGACTGTCTGCCTTCCTTGCGCTCCAGTTGGCGAGCCGAGAGGGCCAGGACGGCGTAGAGAAGGGCAGGTGAGGACTGAGCAAGCACTGGGACCTGGATGCCGAAGGCCCGGTCGCTGTCGAACATGTCGAGCCACGGAGCGACCTCAGCAACGTAATTCTTCAGGAACTCTAAACGCCGAGGCGATGCCAGGGTTTGAGCGGCCTGGCGGCGGTTCGCAGCGTCATTTGAGGGGCTCGGAAAAGAGGGCACCAACGGAAGGGCCTCGGGAAGGGTGGTGCCAGGCTCGGGGGTGCCTTCACGGGTGGGCGCGGCAGTCTGGGCCGTATTGAAGATGAGGCAGCGAAGCTCCTCTTGATACTCGAGGTAGCCTGGTTCGGACACAAAGTGATCCAGTCGCCAGGTTTCGGCTGGCGATGTGGACGAGGCCTCAGAAAGATGCGGCACGGGGTCATGGAGAGATGTCCAAGGCGTCGTGGGCGTCAGTGCCTGGGGGGCAAACTGAACGTGGGTGTGCTGGGCAGTGCTTGAAGACACATGTTGCGAATCGCCGGCTGCTGTGTCTCTCTCCGGGGACAACATGGCCGATGCCAAAGTGTCGTTGGTGCTCTTGGTGCTGTAGCCTGGTGATGTGCGATCAGGATGTAGTTATGAGCATGCGGTGGAGGAAAAGGAAGGAGTCAAGCAGTGATCCAACGGCAGGTGCATGCAGCCCCCATCCCCCCCATCGAGGCAGGTGAAGACAGACGCGGCTGACCATTTTCGGGGGTGTCAGGGGGCTCCGCAGAGGCCATTGGCGCTATGAGGCATCAGGGTTAGCGCTCTTGCGTGGAGCCCCTGCTGAAGAAAGAGAACTGCCAGCTGGAACCACCAAAACAGTAGCCCAACCAAGATGTCGAGGAACCTCGAGACAGCGTGCATGGCAACCACATGAATTACTCAACCTAACCTGCCTTCCTGCTTACAATCCATTACATGGCTTTCCTTCCACCGCCACAGGTTCAGAGAAGAAGACATCCTCCAGCGCGTCCCATCTGCGGTAGCGAACGCCATATCGAACCGCCCAGCGTCCTCCGTCCATGTATCTGAGCATCATGTCCTCCAGCAAAGAGGAACTTCTTGTCGAGTTGTATGTGAAAGAGTGTGCACCCATATCGATGTCCATTCGCACGCTTGCAGACCATTCTTTGGTGGAGCCTGCATCGTCTCTCGACTCGCCTTGGAGAACAAGATCAACGTGATCCCACTTTCCCGAGTCGCCTTCGTACGCCCAGGTGATTTTCATCGACCGATCATCGCTGCCGAGGTCAAGCTTTGTGTCGGAAGTCGGATGCGTGACTATGCCCTGTGACTTGGCGTGGGCAGCCAGAGGACCGAGGGCGAGAAGGATGGCTGCAACGGCTGTGAAGAGCATGGCTTTTAGAGTTGCCAACAAGGTTATCCGTTATGATGATTGTGTGTATGCCGCTCGCTAAGTTGACGAGCTGCGTGGTATGGGTTGCCGTGGTCTCGAGGTCTGTTCGAGATGCTGTCTGACCAACGAGTTACACGACCGTGAGTTACACGACCGTGACGAAAGGCTGTCTCTGGATGGAAACAAGTCGAAAAGAAAGTGTTTTTTGAACCGTCTGTCGCGTGGAATGGAAACTCCTTTTGGTAAAACTGCTGCCTGTCGTCGAAACCCTCCGGGAGGGGTGCATGGACCAAGGCGTGTCGGAGGCATGTCATTGCCGAAAGGAGTGCGGAGTCCAGCTGGGTTCATGCGTCCTCGCAATATCTGCGGCAGTCGTCTCATACGCTTATCTCAGTTAGCGTCAGGTATTGCAGTATAGCCTGGGGCTGAAAAAAGATTCCAGTGAGAAATAATGAAGTTGGAATGAACAAGGAACATGCTTCAATGCTTTGGCAAAACGGTCGGGGCAGGTTTGACGTGGTAGTTCGCCATATCATGTCTAAATTCATGTCCGGAGCGTGGCATTGATTAAAAAGATACCCCCCTGAATAGCGCAAGTATATCAGCAAGAATTTCCAATCATTTGTGCATTGGGCCCCGGAAGTGACTCGGAATCGGGAAGAAGTGACTGCGTAGCTCCTGTTCCACTGCCTCGAACACTTATAGTACCTAAGCCTTTAGTTGACGACTCGCACACACAGTAGGACTGAAAGAAAGTAGCTCAGCTGTAAATTTGCTATCAAACCAAGTCATGACGCATATCCTAGTTCTCGCACTCTTGAATTTCTCCGTCTCTATCCTTAGTGTAATTCGCAAGGCTTGATGTCACTTCTGCATCAAGAAACAGAGATATCCAGTCAAATGCACTACGTGGCGGCTGTTTTGTTGCTCGCGACCTCGGCAAACACATCCGCCCACGTGATTCCTGAATAAGGCACCCCTTCCACCGGGCATACCGTCCCAGGCTCCGGCAGGACACCGTCGTTCCAGTAAGCAGAAATCGCCTTGAGCGAGCACGAAGAAGGCAGGACATGCGAACCGTGCTAGATCGCCTCAGTCAGCCTCAAGATACTATAATGGACCGACTACGGACAAGGAAGAATGTCCAGGATCACTTACACCATAGCCGCGAATCTCCAAGAGACCGCTCCCGTCGAACGTTGAGCTCACGTTCTTTGCTGACACGAGCGGCGTGTGTCCGTCCCAGGTATTGCCGACGAACAAGACCGGGTTCTTCGTCTTGACGTGAAAGTCGGAATCGAGTCTTTCGGCGGCGCCGACCTGCCACTGCGCGCAAGCAGCATTGAGAGTTACGACCAGATCTCCGTAGACACGGCTCGTGTTGGTAAGCCTGTCAATCGCAGGCTTGAACTCTTCGAGACTGGCAGCTCGTGCCACCCTGTCACCGCAGCGGATCTGAAAGATCGCCTCGTCGCCTTCGGCTTTGGTGGTAAGCCATCCGTTTTTCGTCATGGTCTGCAAGGCCAGTGTATCGTTGGATCGCGTCATGAGGAGATCGAGGAACGCTGTGTAAGTTGGCCAGCTTGATGCGTCGTAGAGGTTGAGGGCAGTGATAAACTTGAGGGTCGAGTAATCGATCGTGGCGGGTCCCAGAACGAGAGGGTCGTATTTGATTGTCTCGAGGAAATCCCAAAACTTCTTTTCGAGCTCGGCACCAGAGCTGTTGTACTTGGAGAGGGCACAGTTCTCGGGGAAGTCGAGGCAGGTGGAGAAGATGGCAGAGAAGACTTCGTCCGTGTTCGTCCATTCTTCGAAATCACTGAAACTTGGTCAACAAGGTCCCATATGTTGTGAGTGCTGGGGCCGCTGTTCAACAACACGATAGAAAACGTACCCAAGGGCATAGTAGTACTCGTGAGGGTTCTGCACGCCATCAAACACCAATTTATCAATCCTCTCCGGAAACATGGCTGAGACTGTCGCAGCAACAATGGTGCCGTAAGACAGACCTTTTCATTTGTCTGTTAGCACCGTCATGTAGCCTTGCGGGCATGAACTCACCCCAGAAGCGCAGCATGCCATCTTCGCCGAGCGCGTCGACGACGCTGATCAAATCTCGTGCGTAAAAAGGGGTATTGACAAGGCTTGAGTTCTTGGCCTGCGTCTCAAGACAAGCGTTGGAGTATACCGTGCCCGCAGCCCAGAGCTGTCCTTCAGCTACATCCGACGCGGTGCTTGCGACCCCGGCATTGAAGGTGTGCTGCGCTTTAGCCAATGGGTCGGTGAAGCAGGAAAATACTGTGCCGCCGGTGGCTCTGGAAGTGTCCCATTAGCAACGATTCAGACAAGCATATGTCTCTGTAGTAAAATGACATGGATGCATACCTGGGGTCGAACGCGACGAGGTCATACTGGCCGCCAGTGAAGCTGCAGAAGTGTCAGTCAGTTGGCGGAGACTTGAAGTGCCCATACAGGTTTTTGATGACTGACTTCATGTATATCGAAGCCGCTTGAGCCAGGGTTCGTCGGCCTGGGATGCCGGGTCCTCCAAAATTAAGCTGGATGCTGCCCTTCGAGGGCTGAGTGACGGCTGGCACTCGGGCCAGTTCTAACGAAAGCTTTTCGGTCGAGTTTGGAAACCTATAGTCGAGGGGCACCTGCAAAGTTCCACATTGCACAGGTAGGCCGCCAAGTGCTTCGGTGATGTTCGTGATGTCCTCGCCGCAGTCACCCCATTGAATTTTGGAGTTACAAGTCGGGCTCGCTTTAGCCGCAGAGAGTAGAGTGAGTGAGACGAAAGCTCTTAACTTATTGCGAGAGAAAACCATGGTTTTAAGAATGGTCTGGTTGTTTCCTTGAGAATGTGACTCTGACTTTAAGATACAGATCACAACTACAATGGCCCAGGAGCGGCCATGATTCAACTTATTATATATCGAGGCCGCATCCGCCAAACACCAAGACTGCCTCGCAGAGTCTCACCTCTTGCTTCACCAAGACATATGACGCCACTGCACAGAGTAAAACCATCAGCAGCCAGGTTTGAGTGTTGAGGCTCCTTTGGGATTTTGATACGCGTAAAATCTAAGCCTTGAGGATCGACCAGCTAAATCTTCTCCGCAGTATGATGAGGCTCAGTGGTTCCACGACAGTGGCTTGGAAACTCCATACGCGGACCTGGCTGTCTCAACATCACGTGTCGGGCGCCGCTGTTCCCTTTTCAGCCACTCATCGTTCGTACGTTAGGCTGAAGCCTGACAGCCTGGCCTGTAATCGGCGCAGATCGGCTGCTTGAGGCCGAATGACGTTGGCGGCCCAGGCGCAGTAAAGGAATAATTGGGCTGACTGCTAGTTGAATCTGCGTTTGCGGTCGGTGAAGGGCGTCAGTTATACGAGTACCTTGATCTGCATGTCTGTGAAGACCAGAGCAATTAGGATCCCCGCGATCCGAGGAGAATCAGAATATGAGCCAACTATCAGATAGATGGCCGACCATGCAGTCATGTGTAACCATTCTCTCAGCTTGTCGGCCATTGAACGGTCCGTGGCATCCTTATCATCGACCCCGGTCCTTATCTTCTGAACTCTGCAAGCTGACGAACCGTTCGTACCTTGATAGATGGGCACGTACAATGGCTTACCTTTAGTGCCGAAACATGGCCTCAGTACACAAGATCATCACCGCCTTCCCGAATAGCTCAGGCAAGGATGTGTCTCCAGGAGCCGAACCATAACTTCGTCAATAGTGAACAAATCCGCAAAGCAAAAGCATCACACAAGCATTTGAATGCACCCCTCGTGTTATGCTTCGATCCGACTGGCGATCTTTATTTCATGCCACCTTGCTATCAATCGGAAGAAGTACTGAGGCCTAATTTCGGCACCAAAGGAGTAGACAACGCCGACAGACCAAGCGCACCACCCAAGGCACAGTTGGGTGGCGGCCCGCCACGGCGCTACTAGATAAAATGATTGTCAGGACACGGCCTGACGGTTCACAGCCCCCCTGCTCCCCGTCGCCGCCGTTGTCAACCGAACGTACCCAGAAATAGCCTGATTAGAATGTGTCAGTGTTCAGGCGCAGAATGAGGTTGTGCGGCGCATGTTTAGCGAAGGTGCATAAAAGTGATGCAACATTGTGTATTTGCTCTCTCACCGGCATGATGTTGCATGTCCAGACCGCTCGTGCATTTGCTGGGAGGGAATAAAACAACGCAGCAACCCCTCGCGCGATTTGACCATATTTTGCTGCTGCCTACCCCCCCCGCCATCTTTCCTTCGGCATCCAGTACTTCCATGCAAAAGATGACGCCGAGATACAAGAGCATCAGCGATCAAAGCACAAGGGACGTTCCAGTGCAGACACCAAACATGTCGCTAGAGCACGTTGGGTTGGAACCGTGTGTTTCGATTCTTCTGCAGAACGCGTCTCCGACCTATTGGCACTGCTACCCTTGTGCCCATCCTCGGTTTCTTCAGTGCTTCGATGAAGCTTTATATGTCGGTTGCGATAGTAGGTTGCGTCCCAGACCATTCATGCCTCGAGCACGCCACTCGCATCACGCTGGAGACCTAGAAAGGAGCTATCGCTTCCTGCAACCAGGGGGCAAGTGATGGCGGGCGAGTGAGGCGAAACGAAATATTGAATGGCCTGCATCCCGCTTTCTCACACTCACCTGAAGCCGTGGCCGTTCTGTTCCATAAGCCGCAGGCCACGGCCCATAGGCGCCAGATAGACTAGAGGATTGACCATGCGCGCGACAGGCGGTCATCAATGGTGGCGGCTGGGCCTCAGCGAGGTACGGCTTATCGGCAACCAATAAGTTTTGCGAGGGCTGAGAATGTGGTGGTGACTTGGCGCACGACACGCTATCTAGACACGGGAGAGGGTGCCGTGCTATGTAGAACTCGTGTTAAAGTTGGTACAGAAGACTTGATGTGAGCAGAGGGGGGCAACGGGTGCAGGGGTAGAGGGCAAAGGGGGGGGGGGGATGGCTACTGTAGGGCTCAAGACACATGGGGGTCAACCACTGTCCCCCCCGCCCCCCCGGGATGGTATACCCTTCTGTTCCGCCACGCTGGAGATGGGCAGAGGGGCGAAGCCAGTTTGTTGAGAGGCTGGGCGAGTTGTTAGTTGGTGGGTGACACTGCAGACTTGAGATGCACATCCCGCCTTGGCAAGGAGCAATATTTCCCGTTTTTGAACCCCTGGGCCAGCGTTTTGCAGCCCGTGTCTGGGCAGCTGAAGATGTGTCGAAGCCGCGCGACAGCAATCGGAATACGGGCTGGGCCGTTGGAACCTATCAGCCGCCTATTGGGTTGCTTCCCGTCTCCTAGTCCTGGATCTGACCCTGGTCCTAACCCTGGTCCTGACCCTGGTCCCACAAGCCTTTTCCAACCGCATCGCATTTACATGTGCGTTCGCAGCACATCGTGTCTGCAAGATTACTTTTCTGAAGCTTTCTTCTCGTCTTTCTGCCAAGGAACCGTTTCTCCCTGATGCTCAGCTGGCCAGAGGACGGGACGAGCTAGAACTGAGCCACCTACCTCGATACCTTGCCTGCCATGGGTACTCGCCTATCTTTGTTTGTGGTACCTTGGGCACCTTACCCAGTCAGAAATGGCAAGGCGAGGTTGTGCAGGGCAAACAACTCACGTAGCGCGTCAGTATTGTTCCTGTCGATCCCATCTATCTCCTATCTGTATCATGGATTCCTACTGCCCCTTCGCCAGTGGCTGCAGATATGAGAGACGACAACATCTTTTAGACACAGGGTACCTGCCTTGCCTTACCTGAGCTAGACCGTCAGCTATTCGACGTTGATTGTTGTGATGGGCCCCTTTGTTCATTCTCCCTTGACTGCCTAGTCTCGACGGTGTCGACACCGTTCCTTTGTCCAGAAGTCGCCTGTTAATAGGAACCAACAAAGAGGGATCTCGCCAAGAAATATTTCCATTCACCGAGCTTAATAGACCATCGGCAGGATGCATATCTCCGCGATCAGACCAGCCCTCAGTACATTGCGGATGAGACCGATGAACAGTTGCTTTGCCTAGGTAGGTGGCCGATACTGCCGACCAACATGGCCTGTCCGGACGTACATACACATACCACCCCAGCCCTCCGCCGGTACATGCACCTAACCCTGTCACCTTCCGCGTCGATCCGGCCTGGCCTCGCCCGTTTCCCGTAAACATCACCACACTCCGTGGCCGCAGCAGCACCGCAAGGCATCCTGTCGCTTTGACACACCCATGCGCGCGCCAAGTCGGAGGCTTCATGCCAAGGTCGATTCTTCCCAATACAACCCGTCAGCCATCTAGGGCCTGCGTCTTGTGCCGTCTTTGCCAGGCCGCCATAGCACCCTTTCACACCCCTGTGGCGGCAGCCTCCCCTTCCCTGAACGACATGACCTAGCCTGACAGTAGATAACACAACTCTGACTTTCTTTGACGCAAACGCCTCCGCCAGGCACATCACCGCCGGGCTGACCTACGTCCGCCCCCGGCTCCCAAGCTCTGGTCCAATGGGTTCTGCTCCCATTGAGTCCCATTGACCATGCCTGGTGGCGCCGCCAGCACATCAACAGCTACCCTCTTTCGGAACTCGCTTCACCTTCTTCTGCCGCAGACGCTCGATTCAGCATGGGTGACCCCCTACTTAGGTTGCCATCTTGGGTTCAGCCTGGCTGCACTGGCTGGCTGGATGAGACGGACGTCAAGGCAACGGAGACGCCCGAGAGGCCGCTACCCCCTCGTATCACTCGATAGCTCCATGTCGATGCAGTCGGCATCGAGCTTGACCGGCCGACCCATGCGCTGGAAGCTGAACCCCCAAAGATTTCATATTGGAATCTAGACTCGCGACGCCTGACCGCACGAGCTTGTTGCTCCTACTGCAGCCGTCTTGCTGCAGGATATCTGTGACCTGGTGTCCCTCTCCTCCTTCTAGGTTCCCCCCTCCTTGTCCTCTCTCTTTTTTCCTTGTCGTCTCCTGCAAGCCCGCCTGTCGCTCTTGGCTCCGCCTGACAGGTCCATACAGTTGCTCATCTCCTTCTGGCGCACCTCCAACTTCCTTGCAGCTCTCTCGCCCACATACCCCCTGCGCAGATCACCCACCATGAAGGCCTTCAAGAGCTACTTTGCACCAGCAAAGCAGAAGGACACTGCTCTGCAGGACGTCAAGGGGGAGAAGTCTGAGAAGAAGAAGACTAAGCATGGACAAGCCCACTCAGACTCATCGTCTGTCGGTGTCAGGAGAACCTCGTCGCTGGCGCCCTCGGGTCTCGGCACACAGCATTCGATCAACACCCTGGGCCGGTACAGCAACTGCGGCGACCTCAGGGCCGACGTCACAGTCCACAGCCTCTGGCAGGACCAGCTGAGGAGATTGTACGCGACCAGCCTCAGTCCCTGGGAGGGCGCGATTCTCAAGAAGGGCCGCAATGATTTCGTCTGCGCCCCAGCAGACATTCGCAATGTTCGGAATGGCCTGTTCGACCTGGTCTGTCAGCTCAACGTCAGCGTAAGTACCCTCACCGCTCGTGACCGGAGGCCTTCAATTGACAGTGTAGTGTGCCATTACCATGAACACACCAGTCATTCACTCCATCATTCGCGGAGTCCTCAGCTCTGGCAGCCTGCCGTACATCCCGCTCATGGACGGTCTGCGCCTGCAGGTGCTCGCCAAGATTTCAGACCTGCCTCGCTGCCACAAGCATCAGTTTGCGGCATTCGTGCTGGAGCCGCCCCTGCTGGTGGTTTGGGATGACGAGGCCGACCGCATTTTGGAGCGCGCAGAGGGCCTGGAAAAGAACCTCATTCGGTATATCTGGCAGGACGGCGGTGACGAGGAGAGTGGCGACGAGGAGAAGGCCAGTCCCGCCGAGGTGACTGTCGATGAGATTACACCCTCCAGCCTTGAGGAGGGCAAGACCGAGGACAGGCCAGTCCGACTGACGAGCCCCGTCATCGTCGGGATGACTTTGGGACTCTCGGTGGTCTGCCTTGGTCTCGGATGGAGGTCCCTCGCGCTACAAACCATGGTCGATGGAGACTTTAAACGCTTGGCACTGGTCGCCGTCTCCCCCTTGACCATGTTTATCAGTCTGGTACGTGTGTCCCGATTGACAGCAGGAGTGATGGCTTTCTGACTCTTCTTAGTTCTTCTTCCTCATCATCATCTGCGACATCTTCCAGATCATCGGTCCTATTTCGTCCCTCACCTCCAACTCCAAGAACTATTCTGGACAGCCCCCGCGCCGTCTGAACCGCGAGCTTCAGGACCTCCCCCACATCACGATCCAGATGCCTGTGTACAAGGAGAGCCTCGCGCCCGTCATTCGTCCGACTGTCATTTCCCTCAAGGCCGCCATCTCGACCTACGAGCTTCAGGGCGGGACGGCCAACATTTTCGTCAACGACGACGGCATGCAGCTCCTCCCCGCTGACGAGGCACTCGGTCGCAAGGAGTTCTACGAGGAGCACAACATCGGCTGGGTCAGCCGGCCAGCCCATAATCCCAAGCCCGAAGATGAGTCGGTCAAGCCGTTCCTGCGTCGGGGTCGCTTCAAGAAGGCCTCGAACATGAACTACTGTCTCATGGTGAGCAACCGCATCGAGGAGAAGCTGAAGGGCATCACGAGGGGCGACTCCTGGAGCCAGGAGTCCGAGGATCGTGTCTACACGCAGGCCCTGGCGCAGGTCTTGCAGGAAGACGAGGGTCGGACGTGGGCCGAAGGCAATGTGCGCGTCGGCGACTACGTGCTGCTCATTGACTCGGATACGCGTGTCCCCAGGGATTGCCTGCTCGACGCTGTCAGTGAGATGGATGCGTCGCCTGAGATTGCCATTCTGCAGTACTCTTCCGGTGTCATGAACGTGACCGAGTCATTCTTCGAGCGAGCGTGAGTATTTTCCTCTCCTACGAGAAGCCGAACTGAGCTAACATGACACACAGCGTCACCTGGTTCACTCAGCTCATTTACACAAGTATCAAGTTTGCCGTTGCCAATGGAGACATCCCGCCCTTCGTGGGCCACAACGCAGTTCTTCGATGGTCTGCCATCCAGGATGCTGGTTCTTACACTGACGAGGATGGCTATGAGAAGTTCTGGTCCGAGTCGCACGTCTCGGAGGACTTTGACATGGCACTCCGCCTGCAGACCGCCGGCTACTCTCTCCGGTTCGGCACATATCCTGGTGAAGGCTTCAAGGAGGGTGTCTCCCTGACAGTGTACGACGAGTTGGCTCGATGGGAGAAGTATGCTTTCGGTGTCAATGAGCTCCTCTTCCATCCCTTCCGTCTGTGGTTCGTGCGAGGGCCTTTGACACCCCTCTTCAGGAGGTTCCTCATGTCCAACATCGCCTTCTACCGCAAGATCACCATCATGGGCTACATCGGCACGTACTACGCCATTGGTGCCTCGTGGATCCTGACGCTCATGAACTATTTCCTGACTGGCTGGTTGTTTGGCTTCTACGACAAGTACTACCTCGATTCCTTCGCCATCTACTTCTCGATCATCATCGTGTTCCCTCTCGCCGGAAACATTGCCCTGGCCGTACTGCGGTACCGCCTCGGCGAACAGTCCTTCCTGCCTGCGCGTAAGTCTTTTCTTCTCGTAGAAACTTTCGCAACGAGGATCATTGACTAACAATTGCCAGTGTGGAACAATTTCAAATGGATCCCGCTCTTCTCCATCTTCCTCGGCGGCATCTCGCTGCACGTCTCGAAAGCCCTGCTCTGCCACTTCTTCGAGATCAACATCCAGTGGGGCGCGACCTCGAAAGAGGTCGAGCACTGCAACTTCGTCGAGGAGATCCCCAAGATCATCAAGAGCTTCTGGGGCACGTTCCTCTTCTGCTTCCTCATGACGGGCCTGCTCGTCACGGGCTACTTCTTCTTCCCGCGCGAGTGGCAGATCAAGACGTTCGCCTCCATCTATCCGCTGGCGTCTGTGACCATTTGCCACTTTGCGCTGCCCGTACTGCTGAACCCGGCGCTAATGAAGTTTACCTGGTGAGTAGGGGGGTGAGGGTGAATGCGTTGCGGGGGGCGTGGGAACATGCTGGCGCGGTAGACGGAATATACACGGATAGACGGCACATAACCTTCGGGGGCACTTTTGGCGTACTTGGGTTTCGGCGTCCTTTTTTCCAGGTCGCGAACTGGAGTTCTGCTTCTTACAATCCTTTAATGAGTAATACCCTAGGTAGTTGGATACTAGACTTGATTCATCATTTATATACGTATGACAATGTCGTGGGAGAAACGCTCATTTTGCATTAGTGTACAGCATCTGCCCTGGGATTTGGCAATCGGATTTCTCGACTTAAGATTCTTCATCTTCGTCCTTCGCTTCCTCCTTGACTTTGTCTTTCGTCTCTTCTTTCACGTCACCGTTCTCGTCTTCGTCTTCGTCGGGCAACTCAGGCGAGGCGCCAGCGACACCCTTGGCCTTGTCCCGGAAGGCCTTTCTCAGTGCACATTTGCCCAGGTTCTTGCCGCCAGCCTTGCACTCGTCGCACACCTTGCCGTGCTTCACCAGCAGGATGTGCAGGCCGTACTTGTCCTCGTCCGGGATGCGCACGTCGAGGTGGGCATACGTCTCGTCGCGACTGGCGGTCTTCGGACGCCACCCTAAGAGGCCCGTGATGCGCCACACGTGCGTGTCGACGGCGAAGCTCTCGCGCCGGAGACAGAACAGCAGCACGCAGCTCGCCGTCTTGGGCCCGACGCCCTGGAAGCCGATGAGCTCGCGCATGGCCTCTTCGTCCGTCTTGTCGAACATGTGGTCGAGCGAGTAGGCGCCGTACCTGGCCTTGGCCTGCTCGAGGATGCCGAGGATGACCTTGCTCTTGACGGCGGCGAGGCCGCCGCACTTGATGGCCTCCTGCAGCTTGGAGGCACCGCCGGCGGCGATGGCGGCCCACTCGTCGCTGCCGCCGTAGACGGCGTCCATGCTGCGCTTGGCGCGCGTCGAGTTGGCGTCGCTCGTGTTCTGGCTGAGGATGGTGCGCACGAGAGCGTCGAGGACCGAGGGCGAGTCGCCGCAGCCGGCGCGCGAGGTGGGCGCCTTGACCGTGTCGGGCCGCGTGCGGGCGCCGTGCAGCGAGGTGAGGATGCGGTGCGCGAGCTTGGCTTCCTCGGCCGTGGGGTGGGCAAAGTCTGGGAAAGGGGATTTGGCTGAGAATTGATCAAAGGCCTTGAGCTTCTTGGCTTGGAGGGTGTTGGGCGATGCCCCTGATGGTGAGACCTTGGGTTTGGCTGCCGGTGAATCGTCTTCTGAGGGGTCCTTCTTGACGCGCTTGGCAGGCGTTGCTGGCAGGGCATCGTCGTCGTCTTCCGTCTTGATGCGCTTGGAGCTTGATTTGGTGGGCGACTTGGTAGTCGTCTTGCGTTTCGATGGCTTTTCGTCGGTGGACTCCGCCTTGATGTTAGCCCGCCTGGCTTGGCTGCTGAGAGGCGAAGTAACTTTGGGCGTGCTGGTGGCGGCAGCTTGCCGTGCGCTGGCTCGGGTAACCCGGGACATGGTGAGAGCTGGCGTTCCTGAGCATGCAATGGAGGTGAGTGACGCTTCGGCAGTCTTTCAGAAGCGACGGAGTGCAAACAAGGGAGACCGAGGAATCGATGAAATTGGACAGTCTTGATGGGATGGACTGCGTTGCGATGAGATGCAATGCGCCAGTGAAGATCTGAGTGGTGATGTCACGACAATCGTGGGATGACCTGGGCTTGGCCTGTGCTAAAGAGCTCACGCACGTGGCGTTGAGACGTCAATGGGGGAATGTAAACCGTGTGAGATCAATATCGCCGTGAGAATGCTGCGGCGATGGGGGTCGGTGCGCTGTAGAAGGGGTGTCGAAAAGTGGTGATGACATGGAAAGATGCTTTCTTCTTTCGAGATCCAAAAGCTCGTCGTCGCTATCACTATCACGACCTGCGCCACCAGTGGCGGAACCACCAGCCACCAATGGATAAAATCTATATACTCTTTGACCGGGGGTCTATAACTCTCTGATCGGGGTCATTCATCATTTTCTTCCTTCGCTGACACAAAAATCTCTACCTGACTTTGAAATAGCCCCTCCAGAGGTTCTGTAGCAAGTCTTCAGGGTCGTACTTTTGCGATACCTCTCGCAGCCTCTTGTGATTCTCCTCGCCGTAGCTGCCGAACACATCCTGTGTTCTGCCAGCATAGTTGATGTACTTGTATCCATTACTCTGCCCTCGCGCTTCAGCTCTCGCTTCGATATCCTCGATAAACTCCTTTGACTTTTTCTCAATGAGGCAGTCCAACTTCTCATTCGACCAGGTCGCCATGATATGGATCAATACGAGCGGCCCGTCGCCCACGTCTAGCCCCAGTGCGTTGCCTCCATTCTTCTGCATCTCTTTGAGCACGTTGGTCGAGATGGGCTGGAAAGCGATCTGCGGAACAATCGTGTCGCCAGCCTCCTCGGCCGCCGCCAGCAACGTTTCAACATGGGCATCCCACTTGGGCAGCGTCTCCAGGAGAAGCAAGTAATCCCCTGCGTCGCCGATCGAAACCGTCGTGTCCCACCACGTCTTTCGGAAGCCGTATCGATCCGAAATGGCCTCCAGGTGTGTCGAGACCGGCGCAATGGTCGTCGTGTTCGAAATCTGGCGAGGCAACCGCACGAACCCCTCAAAGATATCCGGCACCGCCCCGTCGGCCGCTGCCTGCGTCGCGGCATGCGTGAGGTGGTAGAGCGACGTCAGGGCAATGTTCCCGCCAAACTGCGGCGCGTTGGCCAGCACGACAAACACGTGCGCGTCCCTGTCCAGAGGCAGCACGTCCGTCGCGACGAGCGTGAACTGCGACAGCACGGCGCTGCTCTCCGTCCCCGGCCAGATGAGCGACCGCGCCCAGAGGTCGCCCTGCGCGAAGGCGTCGACGTCAAACCGCGTCACGATGCCGAAGCTCGATCCGCCGCCGCCGCGGAGCGCCCAGAACAGGTCTTCATTCTGCGTCGGCGTCGCGTTGACGATCTCGCCCGTCGCGAGAACGACTTCGTAGTTCTGCACGTTGTCGCACGCCCAGCCGTGCTGCTCGGAGAGAAACGAGATGCCGCCGCCGAGGAGCAGGCCGGAGACGCCGACCTCTGCGACGCGGCCGCCTACGACGGCGAGGCCGAGAGGGTCTAGCTTCTTCGTCACGTCGATCCAGCGATTTCCCGGCCCGATGGATACAGTCTTGCGGTTCGCGCTGACGGTGACGTCGTTGAGGGCCTCGAGGCTGATGGTGACGCCGCCTTGGATGTTGGAACCCCCCGGGAACGGAGTGTGGCCGCCACTTTTGACGGAAAACTTGGTGCTCAGCGATGTGAGTATCTTGAGCCCTGTCGAGACGTCTGCAGTTGAATTGGGGAGGAGAAAGCAGGCTGGTCTGACGGCAGATTGACGGTTTGACCAAAATGTGTTGGAGACGTCATATGCTTCTGTTTGTGGGTAAGCAACCCTGCCGGGAAGCACTTTATCGAGCGCCTCGCACTAGGTATGGAGGTCAGTATGCGGTATCGGAAGTCGTCCTCGGGAAGACGGACTGCGGAGGCTCCCTTGTCATATGTCTGGCATTGCACGAGGACGGCAAGCCCAAGCCAAAAAAGAAGGGTGGTTAAGGACGGGTGCTGCATAGTGGCGATGGATCCCAGGACCATTTGCTTCGCCTGACCTGAGTCTGGTGGCTGCTCCTGGCAGTCAGTACGTCTGTACTGACGAGTGGGTTGAAATGTCAACTTATAGTCGTCTTTTTCGGGTTGTTCAGCCGAGCTGAACTTCTCGACGGCGGGGCGGAAAACATGGCTTCAAGTCCCGACGAATAAGCAATATGGAAGCCTGATTCTGAAATGAGCACTTGCGTGATGACTCCAATCAGCTCAATACGATGTGAGGATCAGCGAGGCCACGGCACGTCTGTCTGTGATCCGGGCCAGCTGCATGCATGAATACAACGAACGGAGGCCGGACTACTGCACGACTGAATCCTTTTACCCCTCACTACAGTTCGACAAAATCATCTCCATGCTGATCCATCGGAGCACCAGTTTAACATTTTCGTGTTTCATGGAGCACATTCTGGGGTAACACAGCATCTAATGGCGCCGCGCGTATTGCAATGGTCAAAGATAAGCATCACGAGGAGACGAAAATCACGACGGGGTTCATGCTCACATCAGCCCATTGGCGTATTCCGCTGTGGGAGGATCAGCACATGTTTCCCCAGGGGAATTCGTTCCCATGACGAGACAACTTCTACTCTGTCCGAATCACAGGTCAGTGCTTGAGCCAGACGTTCTAGGCTTTAATTCATCTTGATGACCTGAGCAGAAAAACAATCAGGATGCCAGTACAGCTCACACGTCAACGCCATGGAACCAGTCCCGCTCGCCGTGCGCGACGACAATACCGTAAACGGGCGTCAGAACAACCTTCAACCCCGAAATGATCTTCCTCGTCCACGCACTGTCGGTGAACTCCATCATCTTCTTCAAGTCCAGATCACCCGAAAACTCATGCAACGCAAGGTACGTCGGCGGCCGCGGCGCCTCCTCGTTCTCAGCCGCGAGCCCCTTGAGCGCCCTGGACTGCGCGTTTGACCGTGCGTACGCGAGCTCGAAGCGGGTCGTGCGCAGGAATCCTCCCCATTGCGACATTCTCTCCAGGTGCTGTTCGCGGTTTGACATCGCCGGTCAGCCTCCTGTGCAATTTTTGCCATACAAATTGTGAGGGGACGAATGCCAAGGCTCTGGCTCCGAATCATGCACAGTGATCTGCTTACCTCTTCGCGATACCACAGGTCGAGTTCCTCAGGGGAAATGTCGGGGCCCAGCTCGACTTGTGCCGAGAGAATAGTCTTCGTGTGGCCTTTGTTCCTCGAATGGTCAGCTGCATCTTGCACTGTCCGGGAGCTACAGAAAAAGAGGGGGATACGCACCAGGTCCCTTGTTCGTGGGGTCGTACACCTGCGTGAGCTTGTAATACCGCACGTCAATCTCGGCAATGTCGTAGACGGGTCCGCCGCCAGGCAGCAGGTCGCTGTGGACGCGGATATTCTTGAACTCGTCCGTCTGCATGAAGGCGATGTCGTCCAGAGGATACATGGCAAGGAAGGGCCTCTCGGCGCTGGGGTCAACATCCTTGTAGCGGAAGGCCGTCTTCATGGCGCTCGTCTCGAGAATCTCGGCGATGTGGTCGTTGTCGTACCAGTTCATGTACTGCTCCTCGTTGATGAGATCGGGGCGGGCGATTTTAGAGTTGACGTAGAGGATGCCGCGGCCAGCAATGGGTTGATCTTCCGCCATGTCGGTGGTTGGTGGTAGTATAGGAGTTTCGGGCGGTTAAGTGTGCTGTTGTAACAATGGTCTTGAGTGTGAGGACTGGCGATTGAGATTTGCTGGGTGAGGACATTTTTGAAGTTGTCGTGACAGCTGGTGTCGGGTATCTTTTCCCTTGCCAAGCGTGAAGGTCTCCGTCAAGGGTCTTCCCGAAAGCGGTTAAGCCAGGGCGGGGTAGACATCTTCTGGATGATGGGATGCAGGGACACTTCTAGCACAGGTTGTCAGACGATGAGAAAGTCAGATGAGGCTTGAATCCAAAGACGGTCTGGCGACTTGATATCATGGATCAATAGCTAGTAGCGCCTAAATCAATGGGCTTTTGCACTTGGTCTGCTCAACGCTCAGCGAGATGTCGCCCAGTCTAGGACATGTCTCAAGCGAAAGCTATTGTGCTGGCCACACTGTCTCATCGTCGCGGACGTCTGTCTTATGATCTGGGACTATTGAGAGAAGTCTCAAACATGGACATAAATGCTGGCTGTCTGCTCACCGCCGACTCATATTCTTCCAGCAGCTCAACTTCTTCACTCCAAAGATGAATGACAACGATCACGGGTAATGATGGCAATGTGCACCCCGGCAAATGCCAGTATGCAGAAAGCACTGATCCTCCCACCAAACCCGATTGCCGGTTCCGAAGGGCAGCCCCAGCCGCTCATCGATCGGGGCCCCGGGCCATTTCGCCAAAGTCGGCAAAGCGCGGCCTGGCGGCCTGGAACTGGGCGCCGATCAGCACACGCTGCCGACTTGGCAGGGCGAAGACACTGCCCGATGAAGACCTGATGTCGTCACCACTCTGTGATGTCTCTTGGAGACGACGCGCTTTTGCCAGCCTTTTAGCTCGCACCTCGGCCTTCTCAAGTGTGCGAGCTGTATTGGCATGATCATAGTGAGGTGTCTTTGAGAAAATAGTCTAGCAATTGATGCCATATAAGTAGCATGGGCTGAGGCAATTGGATAGTCGTGATGGCGCAGTTGTAAAACGACATCAATCAACAGCAGCAGGAACGCCAGTACAGTTCATTCACCACACAGCCAGCCATGCGCTCCTTTGCCCTCCTCCCCCTGGCCGCAGCAGCCCTGGCCTCGTGCCAGAACGACACGACGTCGCCGGCGCCCGCCGTGCCCAACGTCGTCCCCTCCTTGTGGGACGGCGAGTGCTACTACCCGACCGGGGACATCGGCTTCGGTCTCGAGTCCTACCTCGGCCGCTGGTACCAGGTCGCCGGCACCTTGGCGCCCTTCACCGGCAATTGCAAGTGCATCCGCGCCGAGTACTCCCTCAACGACAACGGCACCGTCAAGGTCAACAACACGTGTGAGGCCGCCGGCCGTGCCGTCAACATCCTCGGCACCGCGTCCCCGGCGGATCCGGGCTACGGAGCCAAGGGCGTCTTCCGGGTGCAGTTCCCCGGCCAGCCGGGGCCCGAGTGCGCGGGACCGAACTACATTGTTCAGGGTAAAACGACCCGGCCCGGCGTGGACTGTGAGAGATGGTGTGCTGACGAGGCCAGACTACACGGGCGACTTTGCCATTGTGCAGTCGAGCAACTTTTCGACACTGTTCATCCTCAGCAGGGAGCAGCAGGTCGAGGACGACGTTCTGGACGTGAGTAAACGGGGGAGTCGGTGGCTGGATGGACGTCTTATGCTAACGCGATGCAGGCCTGGATCGACAGGGCGGGTTTGCTCGGCTCGAACCTCGACAATGTCATCAAGAACGACCAGACGGGTTGCCAGTTCAACTAAGGCAGTTGGCTTACAATGGGAGCTATGTATGAGATGGAGGGCCGTGCCTGTGCTTGTGCCTGTACGATCATAGACGTAATGACCAGTAGTTAATCGAGAATCTGAAGAAATGCCATCCTCGATGCATGCGTCACAAGTGAGACCTCTTTTTTAGGACGAACCTAGGTCTGAAGTGCTCCGATCCCTGAGGTCTGTTCCCCGGAGCTCACCCCCCGGATCTGCCCCCTCCCACTCTTTCAGATCAGCTCGAGTGCCAGCTCCCGAGGAGGAGGGTCGAGATCGACGAGGAGGCGAATGAGACACGTCAATTGGGACGCATCGCGCAAAGAAGCTTCACTAGACCCCGCGATCCAGCACGATCCGTAAGCCACTTATGCAGGGGCTCCCCATGACGACACGACTCGTCGCCGAGACACAATGACGCCGTCATGATCGCGCCAGGTCCGCGGCGCCGCAACCGACGGGCGCGCACACAGCAACGCCCATCTGTGTGCCGGTGAATGCGATGGCCAGGCAAAGGGCTGGCGCGCACCTCAGATTGGAGCCGGCGCTGAGGGAGAAGCATTAAAGTGTAGCAGAGATTCGTCCCCTGACCCGTCTGTCCTCATCAACTCATCGCCCTAGCAGTTTATTGAGGTCACAGGTCACCGAAGCACGACAGCCATCTTACAGACAAATAAGTACAGACAAAGAAGAAGATCCCAAAATGGTCAAGCCCAAGGAAGAAGTCATCTCCGAGTTCAACTCGCTCGTCAACATGACAGCCTCGGAGCTCGAAACCTGGCTCAAGTCGGACGACGCCAACAGCGCCGGCTGGCCGAAGGACGATGCCGACGGCGACGGCGAGACGGTGGGCCACGACAGCGGGCGCAAGATTGTCGAGATCCTCAAGGCGAACCCGGACAGGAAGGAGGACAAGTACACGGACGAGCAGGTGGAGCACATGCGCAAGGTTGTTGCCTACTGGTAGGTCCTTTTCTCCCTGGTTTGTTTTTGTTTTATGAAAGAGAAGACGCGATTGCTGACGGCAGTGGCAGCAAGCGGCATCTGGCGCAGGAGGCCAAGGGTAACGAGGAGAAGACGGATGAGGAGGTCAAGAAGACCAAGTCGTATGCTTCGCTGAAGAATTGGGGCCACGACTTCCTCAAGGCCGAGGGGCGCGGCGGTGGTAGCGACAGTAGGAAGCAGGAGAACAAGAAGAACGATAAGAAGGAGAACGGCAAGAAGGAGAACGGCAAGAAGGAGAACGGCAAGAAGGAGAACGGCAAGAAGGAAGACGACGAGGAAGAAGATGCTGAGATGAAAGAGGCCGATGAAGATGCTCAGGAGGAAGCTGAGGAAGATGCTGAGGAGGAAGATGCCGAGGAGGAAGAGGAAGAAGAGGAGGGCGACGGCAAGGATGACGGAGACGCCAAGGCGGGCGACAAGCGCAAGAAGACGAGCGCACCGAACGGCGCCAACAAGAAACGCGAGACACGCCAAGGCAAGGGATCCTCAACAAACGGCAACACCAAGAAGAATGGCGAAGACAAGGCAGACGAGGAAGATGAGGAAAAAGAAGAGGGCGACGAGGAGTACGTCGAGGACGAAGGTGATGACGACGACAACGAAGAAGAGGACGCAGACGGCAAGGGCAAATCAAATGGCGGCGGCAAGCCGAAGAAGGGTCCCAAGAAGGGTGACACGGTCTCGTGGAACTGGGGCGGCGGCCAGCCCGAGGGCAAGGTGCTCGATGTCAAGGGCGAGGAGTAAGTCTATTCCCTTGGTGTCATTTGCAACGCCGGAACTAACAATGACAGCACGTCCATCACGACGAAGAACGGCAACCAGGTGACACGGAAGGGCGACCCTGAGGACCCGGCTGTCGTGATCGACGCTGGGAAGTCAAAGGCCATCAAGTCAGCTCACGAGCTCAACTAAGCCATGTTCTTTGCTTGGTCCATGTAAATCAGGTGTGATAATAGTTGTTTGTCTGGAATGAGTTCAGTATTGGGAATGGACGTATTCTGTCAGTCAGTAAAATCAATGTCCCCGTAAAAGCATCACACATTTCGAAGTCAGAACACTTCGTCGCGATTACAAAATAAAACACGCTGAGTCAATCACGTTTCAACAATTCACATTGTAAGATCATCAGCTTTTGGACTCTTTTTTGGATTCTTTTTTTGGATTCTTCACCGGCAAAATCATACTACAGTCTTGCTAGAACCCGTCAGACCCTCTCCCCTCCTTTTCATAGGCAACCTTCCTAATGGGATCGCTCTCCGGATCGGAGATGCTCTCTAATAACTTCTTCGCATTCTCATCGTCATCGGCAAACAGGTGGTCAACAATCAGCTTCTTCGGCGTCTCGCCGAGCCACTGGAAGAACGAAAAGCCCCTCAACGCATCGGCCCTGAAGATTTTGAGCATCTCAATGTCCTCTTCGCCGATATTCTCAACGAAATGGCCCCATGCTCTTCGGCGCGTTCCCGCTAGATGATCAGGCGGGGGCACCGCGTTGGAGCGCTGGTGGGGGGTTTCCAGCGACAGTTAGTGGGTGTCAGCCCGGTCTGGGACCTGGACGGCTCAGGGATTAGGTGGTTTGGGTGGTTAGGGGGGTAGTGGGGGGCTCTCTTGGGCAGACGAGCCACTGAGGCGATCTCAATTGACCTATGGTGCTGCGACGATGACGTCATTCGACACAGCTCGGCGGTCACCCAGCACTCGGCGCTGACGACGCGACCAGGCGCCTTCTGGCCCGCTGCACCTTTTCTCCTGTGGCAGTTCGCTGCTTTTCTCCCCGGCTGCATCACGAACCAAGATGGCGCATTGACGGCCAAGCTGATTCGACTTGCCTTGTTTGCCGGGCGCCAGCGGGATTTGTCTATTTCTCTCTGCTGTCTTGTCGTTGCTGGTCAAGAAAAGAGAAAGTAAACAGACTCTCCGGCACCGTCTTCCTCGCGAGCTGCCATTCGCTTTGCAGACTCCTCGCAGACTCCTCGCAGACTCCCAACCACCATGCCCAACCCCGAACAGCAGCCTCTGCTGGGCACCTCTCGCGATGCCGACGCCCCTGCCTCGACCACGCCCTCGCGCCTCAAGACCCATCTGACCACCTCCGTCAGTCGCAAGCACACCGACCTCGTCCTCCTCGCCTGCTACATCATCACGGGCCTCCTCGACAGCGCGTCGAACCAGATCTGGGGCTCCTTCGTGTCGATGCAGACGGGCAACACCATCTACATCGGCCTCGGCCTCGCGGCGCCGCGCGAGTCGACGCGCTGGATCAAGTCGTCCGTCTCCCTCGCCGCCTTCTGCCTCGGCTCCCTCGTCTTCTCGCGCTTCCACCGCGCCTTCCCGGCCCGCCGCCGCTGGGTCCTCGCCGCCTCCTTCACCGCCCAGCTGGCCCTGCTGCTGGCGGCCGGCCTCCTCATCGCCCTCGGCCCGCGGCGCCGGCCGGCCGACGACCTGTCGTGGGACGTGCTGGCGCCCATTGCGCTCGTCGCCTTCCAGAGCTGCGGCCAGGCCGTCACGAGCCGCGCCCTCGAGCGCAACGCCCTGACGAGCGTCGTCCTGACGAGCATCTACACCGACCTCTTCGGCGACGCGCGCCTGTTCCGCGCCGACAACAGCGAGAGGAACAGGCGCGTCGCGGCGCCGCTGCTGCTGCTCGGGGGGGCCGTCGCCGGCGGGCTGTTTGCGGGGAGCGAGATTGGCATTGCCGGGGCGCTGTGGGCGGCGGCGGTGCTCAAGCTCGTGCTCGTGGGTGCGTGGCTCGTCTGGCCGGCGGAGTAGGAGGCAGTACGGGACTGTTGATTGAGACGGGGAAATGTCTGTTCAAGACGTCTCGCTAGATAGGAAGGCCTTGACAGCGACAGCGACAGGACGCTTGCTGTGCGTCACGGCATTCTCTACACCAGTAGCATGGCATTCTCTGCACCTGTAGCATAGCCAATTCGCAAATTTGTTGTATTTCGGTGCTCCCCTGCTTTCTTTTCTTTTCTTTTCTTGTTTCTTCTCGCTCGCTGTACAAACTAAAGGACGACAAAGCCTGAATATCTGCAGCTTGCTACCGAGGATCACGCCTGAGCCCACACGACCCCAACGTCGCGGCCTCGGCCTGCGGTGCGGGGGAGGGGTCACTGGCGCGAGTCTGTCAGCGGGCAAGGCCCCTGAAGCATGAGATCTCGGGCAGTTTATTGCCCCGATTGGGTGATTGCCCCAACAGACCCTGGCCCCCGTTGGGGTGCCTGTCTTTGCTGCTCCTGCTCCTGCTTTGCTGCTCCTGCTTCTGCTATGCTACCTGCAACCCTGGAACGGCAGGCGCTGCTGCGAATACACCTTCTAGAAGAGGAGCTGCTGCCTGATCCCGTCAGCCGCCAACATCTTCATCCACCTCTCTTCATCCACCTCTCTTCATCCACCTCCCCTCATTCTTCACATCACCATTCCCATCGTCCATCTCTCCATGCACCCCACCCACTGTAGCCTCCTCGTCTTCGCCTTCGGCCTCACCGCAAGCCTCGGCATGGCGTCACCCCGCGATGTGCCACTCCATCCGGCCCAGCCCCCGAGCGTGGAGTTTCGGCTCCAAGACCCCTTGACGCCCTAGCGCCCCGGCGCTTTCACCGTCTTGGGTTTGGCACCACACAGTTGGCGATGCCGCCTCCGACGCCCTCTCCACCGGGTCCCCGTCTCAGAATGGGGACGGGACGTGGCCGAGCATATTTAAGACAAGCTTTCCTCGGCTCCCAGCCCTGAGGGGTACCGGCTGCTTTCTCTTTTTGTTGAGCCTCTTGATCCACGACATACACAAGACCAACACGTTGGACGACAAGACGAACACACATTCCCTTACTACCAACATCGCCATCCCACCATCACCGCTACCATGTCTGAGAGCCTGCGTGTCGTCCTCGCCGAGAGGCCCAAGGCCGACATCATCCCCGGCCAGACCTTCAAGACCGAGAAGCAGCCCATCCCCCGCGAGCAGGACCTCAAGGATGGCGAGGTCCTCGTCGAGAACCTCTACCTCAGTCTCGACCCCGCCATGCGTGGCTGGTTGAACGGTACGTTGGTCGTCATGGCTCCAACCTCTGACTTCATGCTCCTCCAAGGCGCTGACATGTTTGTTCCCCGCAGACAAGCGTTCCTACCTGCCCCCTGTTCAGATTGGCGAGACGATGCGTGGAGCCGCCGTCTCTCGCATTCTCGCCTCCAAGTCTGACAAGGCCGCCGCTGGCGATATCATCCCGACCTACGCTGGCTGGGCCGAGCACGCCATTCTGCCGCCGGCCGCCATCCAGCCCGCCGCTGCCTACCCGCCCATCTCCCACCCCACCGACTACCTCTCTGTCCTTGGCACCACCGGCCTGACGGCCTACTTTGGCATGCTCCGCATTGGTGAGCCCAAGGCCGGCGAGACCGTCGTCGTCTCTGGTGCGGCCGGCGCGACGGGCAGCGTGGCCGGTCAGCTGGCCAAGATTCGCGGCGCCCGCGTCATTGGCATTGCCGGCTCCGACGACAAGTGCAAGTGGTTGACCGACGACCTCGGCTTCGACGTTGCCATCAACTACAAGGACCCTGATTTCCGCAAGAAGTTCAAGGAGGCCACCCCCAACTTTGTCGACGTCTACTTTGACAATGTTGGCGGTGCCGTCCTGGAGGCTGCCCTCGACCGCGCCAAGGAGCACGCCCGCTTCGTCATCTGCGGCGCCATCAGCCAGTACAACACGGCTACGCCAGCTGGCCCCAGGGTACGTCGTGTCTCGCCGCACTCTGTGGCGGAGGCGTCTTTCCTACCGCGTCATCGCGTACTGACAATGTGCAGAACTACACGCAGATCATCACCATGCGCATCAAGATGCAGGGCTTCATCGTCCTCGACTTCGCCAAGGAGTTCCCCCAGGCGCGCAAGGAGCTCGCCCAGTGGCTTGACGAGGGCAAGATCAAGCGCAAGGACACGATCGTGCAGGGTGGCCTCAAGGTCGCCGAGCAGGCTCTCGTGGACCTCTACAACGGTATTAACACGGGCAAGATGATTGTCGAGATCAAGAACCCGGCGCAGGCCAAGCTCTGAAGACGGATGGATGAGACATGAAGCATGAACTGAAAAAAAAGAGAGATACCAGGCCTAAAGAGGAAGGGCTGCATACCCGAATAAGAAAGAGACCAAACCACAACCGTCCTAAATCATCAAGAGATCGCCGTGAGATCCCGTGTCGGGCCTAACAGATTCAACAGCCCGCCCACATGTGCGGATGAGACACTCTTGTCCGCCCGGCGAGTTGACACGAGACCGAATGACAGCGAGCCACTCACCGCACACGCCGATCACTTTGCCTGCCATGCGCGGTGATGTAACACTCTCGCGTCGCCCGGCCTCGGCTCTTGGCCGCATTGGGAATCCGCCGGCCGGTGGACACGCACTGGGCCCGGCAGTCTGTACGACACGGGCAGGATGGGCAGTGATGAGCACAACCTAGTTTTACGCTCATCGGACATCACGCCGCCCTGCCGTCTTTCCCTCCGCAAACTGACCAGTCGGCCGCTCCGCCTCCTCGCATCACCCCGCACTCTTGACCACCCGATGTCACGGGCGGTTCGTGCTCGTCCGGCGGTTCTTTCGACGGTCAGCACCAGCGCGTGTCGCCTGTCTTACCTGTCGAAGAGAGGGTTAGGCCGCTCCCCTTTTCGCGTGTCTGAGACTGTGATCGCCGCTGTGGCCTTTGTGCCGTCGTCTGTCAGCCCTTGTTCCTAGGTCTGCGTGTCTTGCCTTGATGCATGTCTTTCCGTTGGACGCATGTCTTCGCGCAAAGTCGGGATCTTGGCTGCTGAGGCCTGAAGATGACGCGATGCTGCAAAGAGGTTCGATCACGTCGATCTGACCGGAGGAGACAGGATGACGGCCTCGTCGGAAGGCACTCGTCCCTCGGCTGTGAGGCAGGCGTCTTTGCAGGAGACGGTTGAGACTCGTGACGAGTATAAAGGCGTCTTGACTGCAGGAACCATAGCAGCTGCCGTCTTTGGCCACTGGTTCTCGTCTCCCCAGCATTTCTAGAGCTTCCGCCGTCGACCTCATCATGCGCTCTGCCATCCCCCATTTTGGCCTTCAGGCCCTACTATTCTGTCTCGAGGGCGCTTCAGCTGAGTACCAGCTCGGCTGGAACCATGCGCCTGTCCAGAAGGACAATGACGCCGTTTCGAAAAACTTTGACAAGGTCGACGTTGAGCTCCTCTCGCCAGCCTTCCTCAACCCCGAGACCATCCCCGACGGCTTCGCCAATGGCACAGCAGGACCGACAAGTGATGCCACGCTTGGTAGGCCTTCCGGCGGTCGCCAGCTTGACCTGCCATCCTGGCTAACATCTGTAGACTTCTTCATTCGCAACCTCACTCTGCACAATTCCTGGATGAACTACCAAGTTGTCCCGTTCCTCTCAGAAGAGGGCCGCGCCTTTCCTCACCTCTTCCTATCCACATCGAAGGATGCGTCGGCTGCCAACTCATCGGACAAACTACGCGTGTACATCCAGGGCGCCATCCACGGCAACGAGCCCGCCGGTGACCAAGGCATTCTTGCCCTCCTCGGCAAGCTGGACGCGAACCAGACGTGGGCCTCACATTTGCTGGAGCGTCTCGACATTCTCGTGCTGCCACGATACAACCCCGATGGCGTCGCGTACTTTCAGCGCGAGCTGGCCACCAACATTGACCCCAATCGAGAACACACCAAGCTCGTGCGGCAGCAGTCGCGCGACATCAAGAGACTGGTCTCCAATTTCAATGCGCATGTCGTGATTGATATGCACGAGTACACTGCGTCCAACG